GTGTGTGTGTGTGTGTGTGTGTGTGTGTGTGTGTGTGTGTGTGTGTGTGAGGGGTGACCGTGGAGGCCAGATGTCTCAGATCTCTGGAAATGGGGTCACAGGCAGTGGGAAGATCTCTGGGGATGGGGTCACCGGCTATGGGAGTTGTCTGATGTTGGGAGCTGGGAATACAGCTTCTGGCCTCTGGGAGAGTAATATGCTCTCTTAACCACTGAGCCGTCTCTTCGGACTCAGCACTGAAAGTTTTCTGTTGAGTGACTTTAGATGATAAAGATACCTGCTTTTCTTCATTGTAGTAAGCTAGTTTTAAGAATATGCACGTTTTGTCTTCATTTTAAGCATGTTGAATAAAATTATTGCTGATGTCTGCTTGTTTTTTTGTCATCTGCCATGTTTATAATGATACCTTCATTTTTATCCCCAGTGTTACTGGAATGTTACCTTTTTAAAATCTCCTCTGTTGATCTCTACATAATTTTCAGTCTTATTTTTCTTTTGAGATTAAAAAAAATCTTTATCTTGATTGGTCTGTATCTTAAATTCATGTTCTTTTTTCTGTTTTCTCCTTTTGATGAAATCTAGTAATGAATATTTAGTTCAAAAATTTACAGGAGTTAATTTTTTTGTGATACATATACATAGAATATATACATATATATACACACATACATACATGCATACACACACACATATTAGAAGAACACTCCCTAAAATTTTGGCTATTTCTCTTTTGACTCTTGAGTTTAGAAATATTTTTTTCTTTCTTTTAAAGATTCATTTATGTATACAGTGTTCTGTCTGCACATCAGAAGAAGGCACCAGATCTCATAGATGGTTGTAAGCCACCATGCAATTGGTGGGAATTGAACTCAGAAACTCTGGAAGAGCAGCCAGTGCTCTTAACTCCTGAACCATCTCTCTAGACCCCCAGAAGTATATTTCTTAATTTCCAAAAATTTGATCGGTTTTTAGATGTCATATATATATATGTGTGTGTGTGAGAGACAACTACAAACAAAAATTTTGTTAATATAAAATTTTTTATGGAACGTTTATTCTTCCTCCATTGAGTTACTAATAATATGTCATTGAAGTAAAATTTGGATAATTTATATTCCATAATATTACTGATATATTTGGGCTTACATACCATTTTACCAAGTACATACTTTCTATTTCAGTTAACTCTCCTTATTCATATTTTGTCTTCCTTTGTCTTGTTCACTTAAAAAATCAGTGCAATCATCTATTCCACTCTGGCATTTTGCTTTCTTTATAAAGAAATAGGTTTCATCGTATTTCTCTATATTATAATAATAATAATTAAGTTATTTTCGCCATCTTTCAGACAGTGCAAGGATAATATTTTAACTTCATTTTCAATTTATATTATTTTGTTAATCAATTTTTGAATTAGTCATATAATTATTTTGAATAAATTTACTCAAGTATTTATTCTTTTAATTCATGCATCTGTAATATTTTATTAGGTTAAGATTTATTATTCTTTTAGGTAGGAATTGGTCGAGTTTCTGGCTTATGGCATCTTTAATTTTACACTTGTAAGTAAGGATTATGCTTGTAGGGGAATGTGTTACAGCTGTGGGGTTGCAGAGGCATCCTGACTTATCAGGAAGCCAGGCTATACTTAGAGCCTGCAATATACCTAGAGCTCTGGAGGGGTAGGGTAGAACCACAATAGGACAGTTCTGGAGGCTGGAGCCCCAATAGAGCAGTTCTGGAGGGGCAGAGTCACAGTAGCAATAGAACAGCTCTGCAGGGGGTACAGCTGCAATAGGACAGCTCTGGGGTTGAAGTTGCAATTGGACTTCTCAGTTCTGGAGGAAAGGTGTCCTGACTATTGGGAAGCCAGGTGACCTGAAGCTGGGGTGCGGTGGAAGGATGGTCTCCTCGCAGGATATAGTAAGTCTGCTCTTTCCTGGAGAGCCGCTACAGCTGTGCTCTGCTCTGTTCCCTTAAGCGAATGTCCTAGCAGAGCTATTTGGTTTTTCTCAGGCCCAAGACGTTACTTCTTTTGCTAACACTCTGCTAAAGGGAAGCCCTGCAGAAATGTAGCAATCTCCTCTGGAGCTGTTATTTTTTCTGCTCTGCCTTGCTCAGCCTCCCTGAGAGAGCGTCTCAGCAATGGTGTTCAGCTCTGTCCCCTAAGGTATATCCCAGCCAGGTTCTTCCATTCTGCGCCAGTGACTGAAGATCCTCACCCAGGACTCTTTTGAGAAAGAGATTTATTTAGAAAAGAGGAATCCAGGTTTGTGGCCACATCCGCTGGAGAGGGATTAATGCCTTTAACTGAACAGGCAGAGGCTTATATAGGGCTTCTTAGGGGTGGAGTTTTCCCAGGAAGAAGAGGGATTGGTTTATTTTTCCCTGTTGGGGGATTGGTTAGTTTAGTTGGTCGGGAGCAGAGATGGCTCTGATTTCATGGCCAAACTGCCTTTCTCTCACTGGACCTTTTTAGCCTTTTGTTTCTAATCTTAGGACCAGGGCATATTTCTTTCATCGACTCTTATTCTAGGGACAAAGTTGTTGTGCCCAGAGCACGTCCCCCACCCCCAGGGAGACCACCAGAAAGCAGAGTGGACCGGACTGCAAAATGCTAGATTAACTCTTTTATTGCAAGTACAAGCGAGTACAGACAATTACTGGCTGGTCAGGAACTTCCTCTTCACTACTCTGAAACAACAAGGTAGAGAGAAATTAAAAATTTCTTTGCAGGGTTAGTTTTTAAAAGGTGCATTCTACAAAGAGGCTTTTTGAAGTGGCTTTTGACATGGGTTCAAGGCCTTCTGCCTGCTCCTATCCTGTTAAGCCAGCTTTCTCCTTGTTTTACTTGTTATCACCAGGTGGCTAGTTGGCTAAGTGACCTTGTGCTTGGAATCTCCTGGGTGGGAGGGAGAAAGGAAAGTGCTCCTAATCTGTTTCTAATTTTAAAACATTTTGCAAAAAATTCTTGTCCCTTTGAAAATAAGGGGTGAGGGTCTCTCAAAAGTGTGTTTCTTTGGCACTGATTTCAGAGTCAGGGCATGTTCCTTTGGTCCTGGGTTCAGGGATAAAGACGTTTCTTTCCCTGGTTCAGGTCTCAGATCCAGGATGTGTTTCTTTTACTGGCTCTGGGTTCAGAGTCAGGGTGCTCAGTGATTGGTTGGTTTCCTGCTCTGGTTGTCCTTTTACCCTACAATACTATTTTCTACGGTTATAACATTCTAGATTGTCAGTTATTTTTCTTTTAGTATTTTTTCCTCATATGTATGTCCATATGTGTGCAGGTGGTACGCATCTCTGTGCGTAGCTTTATGTGCACATGCATCTGGAGTCTGGAGGCCAACCTCAGGTCTTATTTCTCAGGGACTGTCCACCTAGTTTTTGAGACTGGGTTGGTCACTGGCCTAGAACTTACTGATTTGTCTAAGTGGTTGGCCAGTGGGCCTCAAGGATCTGTCTGTCCCCACCTCTCTGGCACTGGGATTCCAAAGGCACACCAGTGTGAGTGACTTTTTAAATGTGGGTTCTGGGGATTGAACGTGGGTCTTTGTGCTTGTAGGGCAAGCACTTTCCCAATGGAGTCATCTGCCTAACCCTGACATTTTGTTTCCTTTCTTTTCCTCATAACTTTGTATGAATGCTAGCTTCTTTTCTGCTTATTATTGTCTGTATTAGACTTTTCTGGATCAGTAATAGCTGATGATCTCATGGAAGAGCGGGTAATGTTGAGTGACAAATCTATATCAGGAGTCCCATCTTCAGTTCCTATAGGTAAACTACAATACTGTATTAAATAGTATCCTCTTTGAAAGATGACTTGTTTTCTGCCAGTTGATACTATTTGGTAGGGACTTCATCTTTAATTGAGGTTTGCCCCCAAACTCCAGAGTTTGTCCTCTAACCAAAGGGCAGTACCATTTGAAGACTACCAGCATTGGTCCCAGATGTTGTTTGAACCCAAGACTGCATGTTTCAACTCTCCAGTGATCTCCTACTCAACATGAGGCTCTATTCTTATGGAGAGTTGGTATTATCTGCCCTGCCTTCTAAGGACCCGTTCTCATACTTCCTCATATTCAAAATTTTCACCTGATTTTCCACTTTGATAAGGTCTCTGTGGTTGACTGTCCCTCGATTTTTGTCTCCCCAATTACATGCAAATAAAATGTGTGAAGTTCTACATCTTAGTTATGCCTAAGGCATAGACTACCTTATATGGGGCTTTGGAGATCACATGCTGAGATTAAATCTAGATAATTTATCATTAGCATAAAAAAGTGTGTCTCCCAGTGGAGAGGAGAAAGGGGAACTGTGGTTGGGATGTAAAAGGAATGAAAAGATTTAATTAAAAAAATCGTTTCCTCATTATCATGGCTTTACAGGATCTTTCTGGACAGTTTTGTTCCTAACCACCACCTGTTGCATTACAACTCCCTTTCTTGAAAACATAATACCACAGTTTTACTAAATGCCTGCGTGTACACTGTGGTGGTAGATCATTGTAGGAGCTAAGAATTTCTCGCCTCTGAAAATGAATTTCATTTCTTGCGGGTTATAGCACCCTCAATGAATATATAATCAGTAAGAGCATCATGCTTTTTGTGTGCTGATGAATCCTTTTCACTAGTATGCTACTTAAACTTTAGCACACTTACATACCTAATGTTGGTATACAGCCTCTCCCCCTTGTCCCACAAGAGTATATGTGCTTCACAGTTTTGTAAGGGAGTGGAGCTACTGAAAGGTTTTATTTATGGAAGTGATCATATATATATATGATCTATCTATCTATCTAGCTAGCTAGCTATCTATCTATCTATCTATAAACTAGAAAGACCTTTCTGTCAAGTTGTGGAAAGTAAATGGAAAGAAAAGTAGCACTAATGTCACAGATTTAAAAAAAATTATTCTGTTTTAGTAACATATATTATCACTAATCAGTAAGTATTTAGAAAGAAATAGAATTGCAAATTTTAGAGAATGTAAGAGGCAAGAGAAAAGAAATAGTACAAGTTGACTTGTCTGTTATCTTGAGTTCTAATATATTTAGAAACATTATTTCTTTCAGCTAAATTTTTTCTTGCTTTCCAGAAGAAGGCAAAGTTACTGTTCAAGACTTTATGATCAAGTTTGGGGATACCTTTACAACTCTAAAGTCTGAACGTGAGTTTTCCTTAGAATGTGTTTAGTGCTCAGATTTGGAAGGACAAGCTGTGGCTTGCATATGAAAACAGTCTAGATTAGATAAAGCCCATGTAAGATACAGTATGAAGACACACAGTGCTAGGTAGATTGTTTGTAACTTTGCTTTGAATGATGACGCAAATGTTAGTAAATGTAACGTAAACCTAGAATTGTGGACAGTTTCACTGAGAGTGCTAGAGAATTATCCAGTGATGTCTGATTCTCTGAGACCACTCAGGATGCACATTTGACTTCTGAAATGATTAGAAAATTAAAAATAGTTAGAAAACAATTTTTAAAGGGTTTGGCAACTGAGTGGAGTAGACCTTTAAGACTATTTGTTATTTTTTTACATTATCAACTACTGTATACTATGTTTTTCACAAACTTGTGAATAACATATAAACTTAGTTAGCAGTATGGTTCTGTGTAACTGCTACCATAAACAACGTGTGAACATCCCATCCATAAGAGCTTCATTGTGCTGTTTTAGGATCTATTTCTAAGCTAGCCCCTAGTGCAGGGACCACTGCTACTCTCTGATAAACTTCCAGAAATTACCATGTCTAACTATGACTTTCTACCCTTTGACCAACATCCTGTTTTCCTCCTGACAGCCACCACCACACTCTCTGCTTCTGTGACGGTGTTTTTGGATTCTGTACAAGTGACAGCATCCAGTAATTGTCCCGATATTTCACAAAGTAAATGTCCCCTAGGTTCAGCTGTTTTAAAAAATGACAGGATCCCCAGTTTTTTGAGGCTGAAAAGTATTTCATAATTACTTTACTTTTGGGACAGAGTCTTGCCATGAAGTTCAGGCTGGCCTGGTACACACTATACAGCTCAGTCTGTCCGTAAACTTGAGGCAATCCTCCTTCTTCAGTAGGTGTGGTGGGACACACCTGAAATCCTATGATCACCATACTTGGATATCCCATTATGTTCAATCATGTTTTTATTCATGTCTTTCTTAAGAAATGTACAAAATCTGTAGAACAAAAATTCTAAATCATTCCTGAAGAATATAAAATTACATTTTACTTGGAAGAAAGTAGAAAAATACCTCTTTTCTGGAGAGGACTATCTTAAAGTCAATAATTAAGTGGCTTTTTAATGAAATATGTATTTAGTAAGTCTCAATAAAGGTATCAACAGCTTATTTTAGAACCAACAAGCTTGCTCTATATATAAATTAACATGTAAAAACTAACATGAGAACACTGAGATGGAAGAGCTGCTGAAAGCCTAACCTACCACGAATTTACATTTTTATACCACAAATCTTTATAATCACATCCATCATTTGATACCATTGCATGAAAAGTTAAAAGGTCAAAGTGATATAGAAAATCCAGGAATCGACCTTATTATGGTTGACATTTGTTAAATGGTTACAAAATACTGTTATCACTTCAGGTTGCTATAGGAAATAAGATTGATTCTCTTCCAATGAGGATGGTGTGAAAACTGGGTAGGCAAAGGGGAAATATATGTAGAAAAATATTGTGTATCTATATCTATATTTATATCTATCTATCTGTCTATACTCATAGACAGGAGTAAAATACAAACTCTTCAGTGTTTACGCACAAAAATGAAATCCTAAATGGTCTGGATCTATGAGAAGTCTTTCTGTTTTTGTTTCAAAATATAGATGTAATTACAGTGTTTATCTTTTTTCTTCTTTTTTGATACTTTTCTACAAGAATAAGGTTTTGAATTTTTAAAAATTATTGTTTTGTTCTTTTGTGTGCATTGGTGTTTTACCTGCATATATAGCCATGCACTGTGTCCTTGTTTGGTGCCTGTGGAGGCTGAGAGAGGGTGCCAGATGCCCTGGACCTGCGGTTACAGACAGGTGTGAGCCATAATGTGAGTGCTGAGAACTGAACCCAGGGTCTCTGGAAGAGCTCTTATTGACTAAACCATCTCCCAGGCCCAGACATGCAGTGTTTACATTGAGCTCATATTCTAGTATCTTACAAAAGTATGGTTTTAGGAGATGTTTCAAGTGGCATCGCTGTCTACCATAGATGGTGAATTTTCCTCTTATTTAGCAGATGGTTGCCCTTATCTCTGCTTTGTCTGCTGGCCACAGTCTCTGGCACAGCGTTGGGGAAGGTGGAGTCTTTTTTATGTTTCTGATCTTAGAGGAAACCAGCTAGTGTTTCAGTGTTAGGCTTATTGTTAACTATAGAATGTTCATTCTTCCCCCAGGTTGAATAAATTCTCTTCTAACTCTGTGGTCCTTGCCTCTTCCCAGGAGAGAAAGAGCAGCTTTTCAATGCTGACGTCGACAGAAATAATCCTAATGCCATTTCTGACATTAAGCAGAATTTAAAGGCTCTAGGAATCGACCTAACGGACAGTGAAGCCCAGAAGGCGCTGGATAACACGACCCCTTCCAGTGAGTAGTCATTTCACCAAACACCGACACCTAAGATTATCTCACTTTAGACCAGCGAAGGTGCCGTGTTTCTCCTGTCACTCATCCAAGTGTTCAGGGAGCTGTAGCCAGCCTGTTTCTTTTTTCCTCTTCTTCCTCCTCCTCTCTCTCTCTTTCAGAAAAAATAATATTTTTCTTACTTTTTAAACTAAAACATTTGTATTAAAGGACATTTTATTTATTTACTTCATTTCTTTTGTGGCGGGGGGGGGGAGGATGGATTTTTCACTCATACTTCCATATAACAGTTCATCATTAAAAACAGTTAAGGCAGGAGCTCAAACAGTGCAGGAACCTGGAAGTGGGAGCTGATGCCGAGGCCATGGGGGAGTGCTGCTACTGTGTGGGTTGTTTTTTTTTTTTTTTTTTGAGACGGGGGTTTCTCTGTGTAGCCCTGAGTGTCCTGGAACTCACTGTATAGACCAAGCTGGCCTCAGACTCACAGAGATTTGCCTGCCTCTGTCTCCCAAGTGCCGGGATTAAAGGCGTGCACCTCCATCGCCTGATGAGACTATATTTTAATTACATTTCTCTCTTCCCTTTACTTCCTCTAAACCCTCCCAGACATTCCTCCCTGCTTTCCCTCAAGTTCATGGCCTCTTTTTTTCCATAAATTGTCACTGTATGCCTATATGACTTTGTATATACATATATTCACAAATATAACTTATTGATCCCCAAAATGAAGGAACATATTTTAAAAGTAATATCCCTGATAGGTTTTGTTCTAGATCTGCTTATCACATGTTCCAAGATAATAGTTGGGTTTCCTTTTTATTTTTGTGTTTTCCAACACTGGCTTTATAACATCAAGTAGTATACAGAGTATCTAAACTGCCCCTTCCTTTTGTTAAAGGTGAGGTGGTGCAGGTGAAGGGTATCATCAGAGGACTGGCCAACACTGATATATTTAATGAATGCCAGAGTAAGTATAAAATCTTCAGATTTGTAGGCTTCTGTATGTATTTACAGTTTTGGTATTGTGTATGCATGTGAATACGTGTGCTGGCATGTGGGTGGGTGGAACTTTGTATTCAAGAGGCCAGAGGTTGATGATTCATCTTCCTCAATTGCTGTCTACCTTATATACTGAGCAGGGTTTCTCACATGAGCCAGAGCTCGCTGATTGGGTCTAGTCTACCTAGCCACTTTGTTCCAGGGATCCTTTGTCTCTTTCATGGCCTGGGATTACTGGTGGGTCACCATGGCTGTTGGATATCCAAATTCTGGTCCTCACTGTTACCTGCCGAGCCAGCTCCCCAGTTCTTGTATGTGTCATTTTTAGCAGAGCCCCTTCTCGGTTTCTTACCTACACCCCCAGGTGCTGGTCTTCCACTGTGCTTATGTGGTGCCTGAGACCTAAGGCTTGCCAGGCAAGCTCTCTAAACTGAGCTACATCTGTGGGCCCTGACAGCTTCAGGGGCCACTTTGATGGTTGTTGTTTGGCTTTGTGAGTTGAATGCTTAAGATAATATGTCTTAATTGCTGTTGTTTTCTAGTTGAGCATCAAGACCTCTAAATATGGCACTTCCTATTTAACAAGCAAAAAAAAAAAAGAACTGGTAGTCTAGAAAATGAATATATTTTCTTCACATCAGGTTGTTTGTTATGGGTCTGGAAAGATAGTTCAAGAATTAGGACCCAGTTCTATCTACAGTGCTCATAAAAAAGTCCAGCATTGCTGGGTGGTGGTGGCACACACCTTTAATCTCACTACTGGGGAGGCAGATCTCTGTGAGTTCAAGGCCAGCCTGGTCTATAGAGAGAGTTCCAGGACAGGCTTCCAAGCTGCAGAGAAACCTGTTTCAAAACAAACAAACAAACAAACAAACAAAACCAAAACCAAAAAACAAAACAAAACAAAAGCCAGGCAGATAGCATGCAGGAATAATGATAATGTATATTTGTAATCCCAGCAGGGAGAGGAAGTAGAGATGGGAAGTTCCCTGGCCAGATGCAGTAGCTTAATTGGTCAACCAAAGTCCCACTGAAAGACACTTTCAAAAAACCAAAGTAGATAGCTAAGATACCTGCTCACACACACAATCAGGTTGTTATGTGATGAACTAACTGCTGTAGCTGAATGTACTAGCCCTGCTTTTATATTTTTCCATCAAAATAGGAATAGAGGACACATGCAACATTGTCAATAAAATCACTGATGAAAAAATTGAAGTTAAAGATCTTTTATCTGTCTTAAAGAGCTTTGAGAAACCTTCACAGGAGAAAGATGAGCCTGGGGAATTTCCAATTTCTGAAATGGATGGTGAGTACTTAGTTACTTCTCAGGTCTTGCTTTAGGGGAAGCATGCTCACACAGGCTCTTTTTAAACGAATGATAATACTGTATGTTAGGGATAATATTGTATGTTAGGGAGCTTTAGAGGAAGCATGCTCACACAGCCTCTTTTTAAACGAACCGTAACACTGTGTGTTAGGGAGCTCTTTATGGAACTGTTGCCCACATATTAGTCAAGGTGGAGAATGTTTGGAGAATCTTTATTTGGATGAGACTAATAGACATAATCTTGTTATTAATGTTTTAAAACCAGATTCTCATTCATTGTTATGCAATAGTTAAAAATATGGTGTTTCTATTTCTTCAGCCCTGGATTCTAAAGGTGACACATGGGCTTTTGGATTCTTTTGGTACAGGATATAATATTAGTCCCTTCACCATTGTCATAGTCATAGAATGCTTAGACTTGATGAGCTGCTAAAGGACAAGACTATGTGACTTCTGGGGTCATCAGAAGGCATCTGCCTTAATGATCCCATTTTCTTTGCAAGGAGAATCGATGTGCACAGCTTGCCATACATCAAGGTGGGCAGCAGCAGTGCTCACTTAGCTGCTTGGTCTAGCTGGATGCTTGGAGAGGAATACAGTCAGAAACTTTCTGCTCTCAGTTCTGTAATTCCTTCTTTTTTTATAGTAACCAAATAAATCTGCTTTTAATATTTGCTCAACTGAGAAGCTTTGGCCTAATGTTTGCATCCTTGAGTTACATTATGTTTACTCAGTATGGAACCTTTGGGGATATCTGCTCCATTTGTTTGTTTTGCTCTTTTAAGAAAAGGATTCATAGATCCTAGACTGGCCTCGGATTTATTGTGGTCATGGATGATCTTGAATCTCTGGTCTTCTTCCTTCTACCTACTGATTGCTTAGATTACAAGTGTGCACCATCATGCCTTGTTCATGCAGTCCTGGGACTCAAACCCAGGGCTTTGTGTACGTAAGCAAGCACTTCACCAGTTGAGCTTTATTCCCAGCTCATAGGATATCTTTTTTCATATATATGTACATACATATATTAACATATATGTATGTATATATATTTATCTTGCTTATATAGTCTAATGTATTATTTAGCTAACTATAAAGTACTTGAATTTCAATTGATACTAAACACTCTTCGAGGATAAAGAATATAAAGAGTAAGACTATTTGCTGAGATCATCTTTATTCTATCATATGATACATTTTGGATGCAAACAATAACCCATAAGACTTAGTTAATTCAGAAATTTATCTGAGAGTAAAGTTTCTAGAAGAATAAAGAGATTTGGGAATGAAGATCTCCATAAAAACACAATGAAAACAACCTGGTTGTTCAATAGTCATGCAAATTATGTGCTCAAAGCATGACTCCTCAGCCATTGAATTAAAAAACTGCAATGACATAAAACATGAAAGGTAAAATGTACAGAAAATACATAGACTATAACTTCATGAATAGCCTTATTTTCAGACACATGTGCCAGAGAACTTGGGAGAATGGAAGTTAAAAAACTGAGGAAGTGGTGGGTTGTTGGAGGAGGGCCGCATATTGGTTCCTGGCTGCCCGGTTAGCTTAGACCCCAGATAATCACACAGAAACCATATTACTTAAATCACTAATTGGCCTATTAGCTCTAGCTTCTTATTAGCTAACTCTTACATTTTAATTTAACCCATCTCCATTAATCTGTGTATTGCCACGTAGCAGTGGCTTACCAGCAAAGTTTCGGCATATCTGATGCTCCATGGCGTCTCTCTGACTATAGACTAAGCCAGTTCTTTATTCATTAACCAATAAAAGCAGCACATGGACAGAAGAAGCTCCCACACCAATGGATAACTTCTGCTGTGGTCTAGGAGAAACTTGTATGTTCTGATGTCTGCGGCAGCAGTGAGTGTTTGTGGCTGTAAACAGTCTGAGCTGACCTCCACTAGAACCCCCAAGAACACTTATATTTATACTTCAAGACATTTAAATTGACATTTCATAGCCTATGTTGACATGTGAAATGGCTGTCTCTCCTCACCACACCATTAATGGGTTCGTTGTGATTAATGAAGTTAATGAAGTTTTTGCCTTGTTTTGTCAGCTGTCAATCTAGCCTCATACTGTATTTCCCTCATGTATTTACTTTTTTGCTGTTTTTATTTTGCTCATTCTAGTCTACTGTTTTGTATTCAGTTAAATAAATAAAAGTTAAAGTTGATGGTAGAGAAGTATAAACATTTTAAATGAAGAAATTTGAAAAAATAAAAATTTTAGAAACTAAAAGTATTAAAATTAATCATCCACTAATGATACTTGTATATTAAAAAAGATAAATATGAACTGAAAAATTGTTTGATATATAACCTGTGTATGAGTTTTAAAAGTTGGGGGAAAATCACATGAGTTATGTAATAAATGTGATAGGTCTCGAATAGCATTAAAAAGAAAATGGAACACTTCGAAATTCAGTAGAGGCTTTTAGAGTATAACTTGTTAGGCGGTGGTGGTGCATGCCTTTAATCCAGCATTCAGGAGGCAGAGACAGAGGCAGAGGCAGAAGCAGAGGCAGGTAAATACCTCAATTGGGCCCATTCTGGTCTACAGAGTGTGTTCCAGGATAGCTGGGACTACACAATGAAATCCTGTCTTGAAAAACCAAAAACCAAAACCAAACCAAGCCAAAGCAAAACAAAAAACCCAGCACCCCCTAAAAACCTTGAATCTCTGTGTGTTGTATATGTGTGCTGATGAGTGTGGGAGGTATGTGCCCACACATATATTTGCACTCCCTCAATCTAACCAATGTGCTGTGATCACAGAAATTTGGAGGTTGAGTGGAATGATCTTAACACAATTATTGCCTAAATACATTTTAAATATTTATTTTTATTTTATGTGTATGAATATTTGACTGCATGCGTATAGGTGTAGCACATATATGCCTGATACCCTCAGAGGTCAGAGAAGAGTGTCAGATCCCTTTAGTGGGAGTTACACATGGTCATGAGCAACCATATGGGTGCTGGGACGTGAACCCCAGTTCTCTTCAAGAGCAGCCAATGTTTTTAGCTTCTGAGTCATCTCTCCAGCTCCTGGTGTCCTGTTTTAAATAGACTCATTTAAACCCTACTCTTTTAACTTTGCAGAAAAAGAAGTGATCTTAAAAGAAACAGTTACTTCTTTCATTGACTCATCTAGTCCAGCAACACCATTCAACAGTAAGCATAATAAAAGAATAAAATTAAAATTTTAAAGTTATCTTATGGTATTTCAAGTTTTTCTAAAATACTGTTTGTTTTATCTTTATTTTCAGCATCTTCCCCAAGTTTCATCTGCCTTATTTTAAATGTTATATCCAGACTTCTCCTTCCTTAGCATGTTTAATTTGTATTTTGAGTAGAAACTACATCTCTTAATATATGTATGATGTATTGTAGAAATATCTCATTACTCTAGTGGCACATTGCCCTCTCGCGTCTCTGACTCTCTGTGTGGGTATCGTCTCACTGATGAAAGCCCTGGGAAGGTTCAGAGCAGTGAAGCTTGCAGACATGCTTGTGAAAGAGGAAGGCCTTTGAAGTCTAACACAAGGCCTTACTTTTTAGTGTGCACCAGGGTTTTCTTTCATAGTTTCCTTTCCTCAACTCCTTGGCTTCTGTTTCTGCTTCTTGACCTCCTTTTCTGAACTGCTGCCCAGGTGTCGGCAAGCTGCTGGTACATTACAGTGGACTGGGTAGCAGAAAGGTCTCTGAGAGCAAACAGTTAACAACCAAAAAGAGCTTCCTCAGAAATTATGCAGAAAAGGAGCTTTTACCTACCTACTGTGTGATTTTGTTTGTTGTTTGACTTCTAAAAACAAAACACACTGATGTGTTTTAAAAGCTTTTGACTCAGAATGCCATTAAAGATATATACCTACTTCGTTTTCGTAGGCTGTGGGTACCAAAGATTAAAAATGACTTGAACTCAACGTCAACATCTGTTTTCATTTCCTCCTGTATTTGCAGATTTATTGAAAGAGATTACATCTTTTGATAATATCAGAAAAAATAAGATGCCTGCGAACGAACTGGTCTCCAATATCACGAGTACTGGAATTCCAATAAGCCACAATACGATGCAGGAGATCCTGAAACAGGCCTCTGTCAATGGTGAATTCTTTCTTATTGTACAGTCTCTTCTGTGCAACTGTTTGGTGTCTTTTTAACATGTAGATATAGTTTACATGCTGTATAATCCACCCCAGGATGATGATGTGTACATGTGTAATGAGCCTTTCTCTGTCCTGCCAGCCAGCTCCTAAATAATGACATGGAGACTTATTATTACTCAAGAAAGCCCATCTTTAGCTTAGGCTTGTTCCTCAAGCTCTTATAACCTAAATTAACCCATTTATATCAATCTATGTTCTCTTGTGTGGCATTGCTTTTCTTCCATCTTGCACCTCCTGTTTTCTTTCCATATCTCCTGGCTTCTCTGCCTTTTTTCTTCTCATAGTCCTCTCTGTCTCTGGAAGTTCCACCTAACTTCTTCTTGCCTAGCTGTTGGCTCTTCAACTCTTTATTACATCAGTCACAGTACAAATATTCCACAACATTTCCCCCCTTTGTCTAAAAAGGAAAGGTTTTTATCTCTAACATAGTAAGGCTGTATTTAATAAGAACAATTATTAGGTAAGAATTACATCCACAATGTCTAATACATTTGTATATTCAGAGAAAATACTCTATTATGTATCTTGATGAATTTAAAGTCTTATATTTAAGCCATTTTCTATCATAACTTGTATTATCATCCTAAAATTATCTTTTTAGACCTCTAAACATTTTCTTAGTTAAACAACTTAAGCTTTTATGTTTCTCAACCTCATAAACTTTACATTTTTTATGTAAGTTTTTTTAATTTAGTAGTAAGGAAAACTGTAAAACTATAACTACCTAGTCCTCAGCCCCATAAGAAACCTGAGAAGGATATGTCTGAGTAAACAGGAAGCACAGAGCAAGCAACTTCCAAAACTATAGAAATGACAGAGATATCTGGCTACCCAAGGTTTCTCTGTAAGTTTGGGGCATCCATCTTTTGTCTACAGGTCTAGAATATCTGATAGACTTTTGTGAAGCAGGAATTTTTGAAGGACTATCCTACCTTGTCTTGGCAAGGTTTGTCAAATGCCTTCTTTTGTGTCCTGCTTGTCCAGTTTGAACAAGCATACTGTCAGCAGTTGAGGCAACAGCAGTTTCTTTTCCCATTGGATAGCTTTGCCACAAAGGCAAGCAAATTCTATATGGAGGTTCTTTGATGCGTATCACCTTCTCTGAAGATTGGTGCTGCCAGGAGCAGATGTATCTCACTGTCACGGAAAGACTTATGTTATTAAAATATCTCAAATGCCATATTCTGTGGGTCTTGGAAGTATTTAAAGACCATCTATCTGTCTAAAATATATTAGTTTGACCTTAAAGACATACCTAATATTACTATGTTTGATTATTATAGATGGCTAACTACGAATCTGTCATTATCATCCTAAATAGCTTTCAAGAACTAAAACGTTGCATTTTTAAATGAGTTGCATAGGTATAATATCTTAAACAAGAATAGAAACATATACAATATAACAGAAATAACCTTAAATCTGTATCAATATACAGAAATATCTTAAACAAGACTAGAAACATATATAGAATATTTTCTAACAAAAATAGCTTTCATTTTGTATCCACATACAAAATCCATATCAAAATGAAATATTTGAGATTAATGGTTGCTTTTTAGTTTAAAGTAGATTCAATAACCTGCCATTTTATTCTATTATTCCTATATCCCCCTTTTTTCTTTTCAGAAAGAGATCCTTGAATCTAACCTTCCTTGTTTAGTTTCCTCCCTTACCATGACCAGTAACAGTTTGCAGTCAACCCCCCATAAATGCATAAGCTCCATTTACCACCCAGCTCTGGGAAGCTGGTAAACCCTCTTTTCCGAGTCTCTGTGAGCAGCAGCCTGCTGTCCTGAGTGCTCTGCTGTGACTGGCAGACAGGATTGCTCTGTCTGTGTGGTCCTGCCAGCGCATTGGAGCACCAAATGGAGTGTCTTTTTCTGTCCCACCAACTACTCCCAAATACTGACACAGAGACTTACTAATTATGAAAAGCTCATCCCTAGCTTAGCCTTGTCCCACCAGCTCTTGAAACTTAGCCCTTTTATATTAATCTACATCCTACCATGTGGCATTACTTCGCTTCCATCTTGTACCTCCTGTTTCTTCTCTGTGTCTCCTGACTTTTCTGCCTTTCTTCTCTGGCTTTTCTTCCCAGAGTGCTCTCTGTCTCTGGAAGTCCCACCAAAACTCTTCCTAGCTACTAGCCATTCAGCTTTTTTATTACACCAATCAGAGCAATACACCTTCACACGGTGTATGAATATCTCACAACATACATGTGCATTTCTGTGTATGTATGTGTGTAGTTACACATGTGTTTGGAGTTTGCATGTGAATGTACTTGTGTGAGGAGGCCCCAGAGGCCCTTCATTGTCCTTTTTCAAGAGCCATCCATGTTGTTTTTTGAGACAGAATCTCATATTGATCTGCTGCTTGCTGCTTAGTCTAGGCCAGCTGGCCAGCAACCTCCAGGGGTTCTTTTGTCTCCATCCCCTCAGGGCTGGGATCACAAGTGGTTGCCACCACACCTGGCTTTTCTAGGGAGTCAAACTCAGATCCACTTTGCTGTGAGTCAAGTACTTTGTCAACTGAGTTATACCCCAGTCCTATCATTTTTACTGTTTTAGGATTTAGAAGTTTCTTCTTTCGTGTGTGTGTGTGTGTGTGTGTGTGTGTGTGTGTGTGTGTGTGTACATATATGTACATGTGGAGGCCCAAAGTTGATGTCAGGAATCTTCCTGGATCATTCTCTACCTTATCATTGAGGCAGAATCACTCAACCAAACCCAGAGCTCACTGATAAAGCTTCTCTTGCTAGGCAGCTTGCTCTGGGATCCTCTACCCTACCTTCCTTCTGAGGGTGGAGTTACAGAGGGCCCCCTGCCCAGAAAGCTACATTATAAAAATTCTGGGTTCTCAAGTGGTTCCTCACCCCTACATGTGCACTCTCCCCTCCCTCACCGTGCGTGCATACACACGCATGTGTGTGTGTGTGTGTGTGTGTGTGTGTGTGTGTTTGCACTTGATCAGTTGAGTCATCTCCCAAACCCACCTTTATCTTCCTGATTAAAGTCATTCTTCCAATTGAGAGACAAACTGACCTTTGAAATCTAACAAAAAGTAAGACGGAGATAGATAGATGGGCTATGATATAACAGAAGGTAGACATATTGAAAATGCATTAAAATTTATACTTTTTTTCTCCTGGACTTATTTATCAGAGATATACATCAGAGTCTATTTTACATATATACATATTTATGTCCTTATATAAAAATTTATATTTTATTTTTAAGTTAAGTAAATAAATATAGTTCAAACTCTGTGTAGAGCTATCTCAGATAGCTTTGGTTTGAATCCTGTTTCATCTCTGAAGTTAGAATATTTGGCTTTTTTATTTTCTTCCATAGTTGTTTAATGATGGGTTATTGACACCTGCCTGTCCCACCTTCTGTCATGTAGTGATCAGTATCACTAACAGTTTGCCATTTTATAATTATGACCTTCTATTTTTTAGAAAATGATGAAGTGAGTCTCAAGCAAATTTTGGAGAATTTAAGTACACATAAACCAGATCCTGTATTGGAAGGTGGGTCAACTGACTCTGATTTCAAGTATTTGCCATAGTTTTTATTGTCTTAAGATACTATTTTTAAAGCAGCATTATGAAATATAGCTTGTATAAAAAATTTATGCTTTTATATTTATATTGCTTGATTTGATGAAGTGTTGGCCTGTACATGCATTTGTGATACCCTCATCACAGCTAAGATAATAAACACATCCTACCCCCCAGATTTTCTCCACATCCCTTGATAATGTCACCTGCCTCTCTAACTTCTTTCTGTTGACAGAGGTTTCTGTCCCACCAGGTTCCACATCCATTTTGTCCTAAATAAACACACAGAGGTCTATATTAATCATCAACTGGTTGGCCTAGTAGCTCAGGCTTCTTATTAATTAATTCTTACATCTTACATTAACCCATTATTCTTATCTGTGTTAGCCATGTAGCTTGATACCTTTGTCAGTGAGGGATTCTCATCTTGCTTTTTCTGCAGCTGGCTGATGACTGCAGACTGACCTTTCCTCTTCCCAGAATTCTCCTGTTCTCGTCACCCCACCTCTACTTCTGGCTTGGTTGCCCTGCCTATACTTCTACCTGGCTACTGGCCAATCATCATTTTATTAAAAATAATACAAGTGACAGGTTAAAAGACCATTGTCCCGCAGCATCCTTCCACTTATTACCCCTAGCAATGACTTATATTTCTCTCTTAAGATTTATGTTTGCATTTAAATCCTTTTTGATGGCTTCCTTTATGTGGCACAATAGTGTTGACATGCTTCAATAACTCATTCTTTTATCACCGAGTACTATTCCATTTTATAGGTATAGTGTGGTTTATATATTGACTTGATGGTATATATTATGATGTCTTTAGTTTGGGACTTTTCACCCAAAAGCTGCTGCAGATATAACACACAGGTCATTGTATAGGCATGCTTTTACTTTTGGTTAATTACCAAGAGGTGGGTAACTGGGAAATATTATGAGATATGATTAAGTTTTTGAGAAACGGTTGAACTGTTTTATAAAGTGGTTACAGCCTTTTATATCCATTTCCATCGGTAGTGGAAGTATTTGAGCACTCCACGTCCTTGCTAAATGTGTGTAGTAATTTAACTGTTTTCGCCAGTGGGAGCAGTGTGTCACTGCGACTCTTCTTTGTGTGTTCCGATGGCTGATGATGCTGAGCATCTTTTCATTTCCGTATTCTCTCTATGTATTTCTTTAGTTTGTGTTTTCCCCCTCATTTTTAAGTTGGGTTATTTTTATCCTTTTTTCTTTTTGAGACAGGGTTTCTCTGTAACTTTGGAGCCTGTCCTGGAACTAGTTCTTGTAGACTGGGCTGGTCTCGAACTCACAGAGATCCACCTGCCTCTGTCTCCCGAGTGCTGGGATTAAAGGCGTGCGTCACCACTGCCCGGATGTTTTTATTATTTCTTTATATATTATGTATGTAAGTGGTTTATCAAATACTTACTTAGTAAATACTTTCTCCATGTCTTTTCTTGTCTCTATTTTCTTAAAAGTGCTTTTAAAAGTTCATTAATCTTACTTTTAACAATCTAGTCACTCACTTTGCTCTTTTCTGGATTGCGTTTATGGTGTCCTATGTAACAAACCTTTGCCTTGCCAAGTTCTCAAAGGTTTTACATCTTTCTTGTCCTCTCCCTCTTCCCCCCCCGCTTTCCTCCACTCCTCTTCTCTGTCAGATCTTGTTATAAGGCCCAGCTGTCTTCAGATACTTGGTGCTCTTGCCATGGCTTCTTATGGTCTTGTGACCTTCATATCCAGTTCCTATGCATTCTTTGAATCTTTTTATAGTTTTACATTTATATTATACGGCCCATTTTGAATTATATTTTTAAGCACTGGAATTCTTTTATTTTTTAGTGGTATGCCCAATTCTCTTTATTTATGTGTTCATTTTGAAACCGATTCTTAACGCTGTCTCCAACTCTTAAGTTAAGTAGTCTTCCTTCTTTAGACACCATCTCTTAGTTCCCCTTAGTTTTTCACACTGAGACAAAAAAAAAACTGGTTTCCTCAGAGAAATACTCAGGATGATGGAGTTTATGGATAGTTTGATAGTTCTGCAACCATGGAGACAATATTGTGATACATATTTGGCAAGCAGCTTGAATTATTGATGCATTATTGTTCACCACATAGAACATGAAAACATTTACAAAGAAAAACTATAAAGTGACTTCAAAAATCTCCATTTGCTTTCAGATATACAAAGACCCCTTAATACTGTCAAGTTGATGAGCTCTGACAAGATTCAAATTGCCAACTTGAAGGATGTTCTTAGTGACCTCAATATTCCTTTAAAACCCGAGGAACAGCAGATGTTAGAGGAAACGCTCGATGCTGATGGTATGTATGTATGACCACTGCCACTCCATTGGCCTTAACAGAATAGTTCTACTGAGAGCAGTCATTAAACCTAATAGAATTCCTTTGTATGCTTGAACTTTTGAGACAATGTCTGTGTAGCCCATTATGGCCTGGAGTTGTGTATCCCAGGCTATCTATCTTGAACTCTTGATGCTTCTGCTTCAGCCTCTTAAATCCTGGGATTGCAGGTGCTTGGTGCCACTCTGGCTAATAGAGCATCTTAAATAAGTTTAGTAAGCATGTTTAACACTACCTTTAAAATCTCCTTTGTTTATTTCACTAGGCTCAGGTATATTTAATTGGAACACCTGGTAAAATCGAGGAATGTAAAGTGATTATATGGGAACGTTCGGTGACTTGGAGAATAAGAGGGGACTTTCTGCTCTGGTTAAGATGTTTATGACTTGAGTCTGAGTGAGAGCAACCAGAGCTTCCAGACAAATGGACATAGAATTTTCAAATTTGGAAGCTATTATGTATATATATATATTTTTAAAAAAAACAATTCCTGTAGTTAGAAGGGAACTATATAGGATAAGGAAGGGGCATGGTGGGGTATGAGGAGAACCAGAAGGGTGATGGGAGCAGAGTAAGTGTAAGCAAAGGGCATCATAGGTTAATAAATACATGGCACTAAACTACATGTCAGTTTGCATGTTGAATATTTACCAATAGTAAATAAAATTTAAAAATTTAAAACATGATAAAGTGAAAATAAAAAACATGGCAAAATAAAAACAATTCATAGGACAATTTCTTTTATTCATTATTAAATAAGCTTGAACATTGCTTCATTAATTCTATTGACTGGGGCACTACATGACAGTAACATCAGGTATAGGTTGTCATCTACATGAATAGAACCAGTTCAAATTGTGGAGTGTGATGGACTTGATAGTCAGTGGTGCTGTGCAATGTATACAAATAAGTAGGAATGTTTACATTTAGAAAGCATTTGGTGGGAGAAGATTTAAAAACAGGAAGGTACTGATTGGAAATCTAGCTCAGTTGACAGAGTACTCACTTTGCATGCATGCAGCCCTGAGTTTGATCTAGTACTCTAGAAACCACGGGTAGTGGAATGTCCCTGCAGTCCCAGCATTCAGTAGGTGGAGGCAGGAGGATCAAAAGCGCAAGGTCATTTTCTGTTGTACAATACAAAGCTCATTGCAGAAGAAGACATATAATGGGAACCAAATCCACAAGGGTGTGGTGGGGTAGATTTTGGAGTTGAATTTGAAGTATGAGTTAGAATTAGGCAAAATTCAGAGGTGCAGGGAAAGAGTCTCAAAAGAGGTAAGGATATTTATTCAGTGTGTACAAAATGTAGACATTAAGGGGTATTAAGGGACTCCAAATAGTCCAGATGACCTGATGTCATTTCATATGAGCTACAGGAAGGCCATCGGGTTTTAACACAAAGATGTGGACAGAGAGTTGACAGTGTGCGGTAGGCAATGGTCCAGGCTGGAAACAGTAACTTAGGAGATGATGAGTGAATGAGATAGAGCAGGGACAGAGCACAAGGGTGTGCTCTCAGTTAAGTTAGAAGGGCCTCAAGAATTAACCAGATAGATGGGAAAGGGATCAAGAGGAAGCTGTATTAACAAAGGAAAGCAAAGTCAGTGTAAATTAGACAAGAATTAGAAAGTGCTCATTAGCTCGGAGGTAAGTGCTTGACTTGTCAACTTGGTAAGAACATGTTTAGTGGTGGTTGACAGAAGCTAACCTCTAGTCGTTGGAGCTGTGAATGAAGATATGAATAAGCCATTTCTTTCCAGAAATTATCCTGAGATGGAAATGGAGGGATAGAGTAGTAGTTAGGGGGAATGTAGGATGAGAGAGGGCTTTAAGGAAAGTAGACAGATGAACTGGTTTTGACGTGATAGAGTTTGAATAGATACACAGTGGAGATAGCATTCTTGACAAAAGTCTGTGGTGCAGAAAACTGTATAAAATGCTCACAGAGGGCTCTAAGTAAACTGATGGAGCTCACTGTGGATATCCATCATGTTTCTTGACTACCAATTTAATCTTTGTACTGTCTTTCTCTTTATAGAAAATGGAGAAGTTTCCCAAAGGACTACTCTTTTAGCACTGAAAAGCAATAAGCGTTTACAGGATTTTAGAGGTGAGAATAATTAAAAGTTTTATGCATATTTAGAACTTAGGAAAAAATCTGTAATTGTTGAAACCGATTGCCTATTTACATGCAAATATTGTTAATATTTTATCATATTGAATAAATGGAACACAGTAGTATAAGGGCTTAGATGAAGGTGAGCTTCTTATGTTCACGCAATCTGGCTTTCAGCATTGCTTATAAATCTTTCCTTCCCTCCCTCCCTTCCTACCTCTCTGCTTCCCTTCCTCCTTTTATCCTCCCTCCTTTTGTTCCTTTCTTCTTTCCTTTCCTTTAGCAGTATGGGGGAATTGAATCCCGGGGATAATACAGCTAGGCAACTGTTCTACAACTAATCTGTACTCCTAGCCCTATTTTTTAATTCATATGTGTGTGTGTGTATGTGTGTGTGTATTGGTGCGTGCGTGTGTGTATACACATGTGAGTGTGTATGTGGAGAAACAGAGGTCAATGTTGGGTATTTTCCTCAACCTTTCTCTATCTCATTTTTTGAGACTGGGTCTCCTTCACTGAACCTAGAGTTTTGTGAGCCTAGCTGGCCGTTGAGCTCTAAGGATCCTCCTGTACCCTCCCATCCCTATCTGCATATACACAAATATGCTTTTATATGGGTGCTCAGGTCCACATACTTTTTTGGCAAGCATGTTACCCATTAGTCATCTCCCCACTACTTTACTATTGATTCTTAGTTTCCTGTTTTATTGTAGCTTATTTATTATTTATTCCTTAGTTTCGTGCATTTGCTTACATCTTTCATTCATTCATTCCGAGTTGATGTTTTTATATTCTCAGAGATAGACTTCTAGCGTCATTCTTATGCATTAATTTTTTTGAGCACTGTGATTTTCCCAGCACCACTCACTGAGGAGACTTTTCTTAAGCACATCTTTAGCCCCTTTGTTGAAGATGGCTCATATTTTCTTTTTTTTAATATTTATTTATTTATTATGTATACAATATTCTGTCTACATGTGTGCCTATAGGTCAGAAGAGGGCATCAGACCTCATTACAGATGATTGTGAGCCACCATGTGGTTGCTGGGAATTGAACTCAAGACCTTTGGAAGAGCAGGAAATTCTCTTAACCACTAAGCCATCTCTCCAGCTCCCTGGCTCATATTTTCTTGACTATTCTTGGACAAGCTACTTACAGTACAATACATACATGTACAATAACTGTATCGGTCGTAGTATCCACCCTAAATATTCCATTGGGATTTTTTAAATTTTTTTAAAATTTAGTGTTAGTATCCTTTGAATTTATTAATACAATGTTTGTACCAATTATTACTTTATTAGCCCCTATTAAAGTGTTTGTTCTTAAATAGAATGGAGGCAGATATATGAGAGTAAATTCCCTTTACATTAACATTAGTTTCCAATTATTAACCAAAGTTTAATTTTTTCTAAGGGTGTGTCTTACATTTGGTTCTATTTCACGTATATTAAATGAAGTTTAAATACATATTTAGAGCAAGTAAGTACTTAATGTCAATTGAACTGGACCGTCATGTCTTTAAATGAAAAACTGTAGCTCTCTGTGCTAACTTTTGAATTACAGTTTAAAGTTTTCTGTTTAGAATTTAATTGAATCTAAACTGAAAATATTTCCTTTCGATAGAGGTTGATGAAATTGCAAAGACCCTGGACAGAGTCACCAGTGAAAAAATTAGTGTTGATGATATGAAGCATATTTCCAAAGTCCTGGGACTTCATGTTCCAGACGAAGAATTACAGAAGCTGGATTCAGACATTTCTGTTGATAGTACGTATTTTCTTTTCAGAGTCATTTATTTATTTATTTATTTATTTTTATTTCTGTTTTTGTTTATTTTTCTGTTTATCTGTCTATCCAGCATTTATCCATGTAATATCTCTATCAACACAATGATATATTGAACTTCATGTGTGATTCATAGACTAAAATAATGTAATATGCAAGAAAAACATAATTTGAAGCCTGATTAATTATTTGCTGCTTTTGTTGCTGAAGACAACCTATTCTTTTTTTCTCTTTTTTTCCATTCAAAAATTTACACTTCCTCCCCTCTTCCTATCCCCTCCTGCTCTCCCACTCTCCCTCCTCCCTCCTCCTCCCTCCTTAAGGGAACCCTGCCCTGTGGTAAGTCCAAGGTCCTCCCCACTACATCCAGGATTAGGGAGCTTTGCATCCAAATAGACTAGGGTCCCAAAAAGCCAGTACATGCAGTAGAAACAAATCCCAGTGCCTTTATCAATGGCTTCTCAGTCAGCCCCCATTGTCAGCCACATTCAGAGAGTTCGGTTTGATGGCATGCTTATTCAGTCCCAGTCCAGCTGGATTTGGTGATCTCTCATTAGAACAGGTACACTGTCTCAGTGGGTGGACCAGCCCCCTCGCGGTCCAGACTTCTTTGCTCATCTTCTCTCTCCTTCTGCTCTTCAACTGGGCCTTGGGAGCTCAGTCCGTTGCTCTGTCTCTGTCTCTATCTCCATCCGTCGTGGGTCGAAGATTCCATGGTGATATTTGAGATAAACATCAATGTGATAGTGGGGCAAGGCCAGTTCAGGCACCCTCTGCACTGCTGCCCAAGGACCTAGCTGGGGATATCCCCATGGACACCTGGGATCCCCTTAAGAGCCAAGTCTCTTGTCAACCCTAAAATGGCTCCCTTAATGTACATATCTTCTTCCCGGCTTAATGTCCTTTGTTTACTAGAGTCTACTAATGAGTGAGTACATACCATATTCATCTTTTTGGGTCTGGGTTATCTCACTCAGGATAGTGTTTTTATTTCCATCCATTTGCATTCAAAATTCAAGATGTCATTGTTTTTTTTACCGCTGAGTGGTACTCTAATGTGTATATATTCCACACTTTCTTTATCCATTCTTCCATTGAGGGGCACCTAGGTTGTTTTCAGGTTCTGGCTATTACAAATAATGCTGCTATGAACATAGTTGAACAAATGCTTTTGTAGTATGATTGGGCATCTCTTGGGTATATTCCCAAGAGTGGTATTGCTGGATCCTGAGGTAGAGTGATTCCCAATTTCCTGAGAAACCACCACACTGATTTCCAAAGTGGTTGCACAAGTTTGCATTCCCACCAGCAATGGATGCATGTTTAACTATTTATTTATTTATTTATTTATTTATTTATTTATTTGAGACAGGGTTTTTCAAAAAACCCTTGTAGCCTTGGCTGTCTTGGAGCTCGCTCTGTAGACCAGGCTGCCTCAAACTGACAGAGATCCACCTGTGTCTGCCTTTCAGGTCCTGGGATTAAAGGCATGTGCCACCTCTGCCTGCCAGAGTCTCTTATTAAAATTCCACATAAAGCGGTATATAGTTTCCCTTATAAATCCATGGAGCTGGGTGACTTAGAATCAATCGTAAAAAAGTGTATCAGCAGTTGGTTTTCCTTTTGGGGCTGGACGAAACTTTTTTTCTTTGATTTTTTTTTCTTCGTTTTCTTTATACTGAGCATTCTAGGGAAATATAATTTTTTCTTTTCCTTCTCCTTCTCTTTACCATTTGAGATTTGAATAAAAGGTACTAGTTAGAGGCTGTGAAGCTCTATCAATCCCATGAGATAAGTCCAGTTTGATCTCCCCACAATCTTCAAAGAGTTTGGTTGGTGATTTTCAATTCCTGCCATTGTTTGCTGACTTCCCATGGCGGCCTTGTGGTGCCATTTTCTCCTTATGTTCCAAGTATATGGCCGGTAGAAGGAGTGCACACACATCCTTGTTTGACATGTGTATGGCCGGTAGAAGGCGAAGGAGTGCACACACATCCTTGTCTGACATGTGTATGCATTTCAGGTGGAGTCTTCTTGAGATACTGTGATAAGATTTTTTGAACTTAATTTCTGGAGGGAGAATTATCACCATGTAAGTGTAATTGTTAGGTTGGACTTGTAATGCTGGAAACCAGAGACTATAAAATCAGGGAGAGGAGCACTCCAGAGCAACCCTACAGTTGGTTTAAGGTGTATGCAAAACTCCTGTAAAATGCTCATTGACTCTCCCACAGAAAGACTTTTAAGAGTTGTTCTAACCATATTGCTTTTCAGTCGTTCTGAGTTGTATATCCAAGAACCGGAGTTAAAAACACACAGGAATAGCTTTGGTTTTAAAAGTTAAGTAAACATGCATAACTTTTAACCCAAAGCCACACATTCTTTCATTTTCAGAAGAGGGGAGTGCGGATTTAAAAGATTGGCTGATGAACTTGAAAGAAACGCCGCAGTTTGCCAAAAGTTCAAGTAAGTGGGGACTTTTCAAAGACAACTGGGGAGGAATATATTCATTTTCATTGCTTGCATCTGTGAAGTTTCCAGTTTTATTAAGCAGCACACATTATGCAGCAAATATGTTTTGGCTTTGGAGTCAACAGAAATCTAGCCATGAGCTTTTATTGATCTGTGTTTTCTGGAATATCCATGTATCATTAAAAAGCCAGTAAATAGCCCAAGTCTGTCTGGATAATTCATCCTTCTGTCCAAGCTTCTGATACAAGATGGCTATCAGACATTTTGCTGAAATCCTGGGGGAGTAAGCCTACTGTCCCTTCTCTTTTCCATTCTCTTAGCTCTTTATCAAAAGGAGATTTTTATCATGCGAGTCACTGTTGAAACATTTAGGAATATAAGGGAAAATGCTAAAACTTACAGAATCCTCTCATGGGATTCTTCTTTTTCATCCACTACCCCGGTGAGTCATGGGATACTGGATGTAATCTGGCTTTAATGTAGTGAACTGCTAGCTCAACTTTGCAGAGATGTCTTTAGAACTTTTGAATTTTCAAAGTTTAAATGAATTGAAACAAGGTTATAAATCTATAGATATTCTGGATTCCTTGGATCTGCTTGGAGTAGCCCATTCCTTGAGAAGAAATGAGGTAGTTTAATGGTTAGTCTTTGTCTTTCCAAACTTGAAGCAAAACTGCATTCAGGGTTCAATTTGGATAGCTACAAAAGTATTTTATCCTTTGAATTCAGGACTTGGGATGTGTTCTAAATTCTATGTGCTTTCAATAGACAAAAAAATATCCTTGATCCTTCAGAATGGGCCTGATAAGACTTTATAGGAACATTGTTCATCAGCTTCTTACAGAGTTAGTGTTTATGAAATGATGGTTACAGAGCTTATGGTTTTTTTGTATTTGGAAATAATTTATACATATACTATCAGAAGTAAATATTACATTTTTTATTGACATATTAATTCCATCTTACTTATGTGATATTGTTGTATATTGATACATGTGAACAGTTCACTTTAAGGAAAATAAATACTTGAGAGTAGTCAAACTATGACAAGGTTCCCAGTTAAAGAGTTCTAAAATCCATTTTATTTACTTATTTGCCATGTAGATATGTATGGGCATAATGAATGTTTGAAGGTCAGAGGACAGCGAACGGGAGTCAGTTCTTCCTTTCCATCATGGGGCCCTGGGGGATTGAATTCAGGCTGTCAGGCTTGGCAGCAAGTGTCTTTACACGCTGTACTGGCCACCAGTTTTCCAATTTTTGGCAAGCGAATTACTTTATGAAATCTTGAGGAGTATAAGTAGATATTCTGAGGTTGTTCTTTATATAATATTATTTTTTCAAATTGCACTTAAATTTTTTATTAGAAGTTTAATAAATTAGCATACAAAATAATATGCTTCATTAATGGAATTTTCATAAATACTTAGCTTTTATTGCTCCACTTTTATTCTCCTAGTTTCCTGTACCCCCCTTTTGCTGGCTCCCTCCCTTCCTCCAACATCTCTCTTTCTGTGGTCATTATACATGTGTTCTATTATCACTTTTCCTCCCCATTTATTTCATATATGATAATTTCATATATGTATAACTTAGTTATCATAGTGGGTAAATGTTTTGCCTACAAAATTAAATACTTTGGTCTTTAAACTTTAAAGTTAATCACTATATTTGAGGGCAGAACAGTCTTTCCAAAGCTGTTTTCTTTTCTTACTTCATAAGGAAAATTGAATAGCAACTCTACCCACTTGAGGGGTGATTTAAATTGGGAGATACTACATGCAGAGCACTTCTCATGGTTTAGCAAGATCGGACTGCAATAAGTGGTAGACATGATTGTTATGTTCAGGGTATTTCAAGGGTTTTTGAAATTTCCTACACTGTATTTTTTGCACCTAGAAATGCAAGGTTCCTTGAAAACTCTGACCTCCATTAGGAGAAATGAGGCAAGTTCTGATGATCTAGTCTCCATTTTGAAAAACGTGGGGGTTGCATTATCTCAAGATGTGATTGAGGAAGCACTGAAGAGTGTGGGGCCCAGGGGTGAGTACTCAATGTTTCTAAGTACCTTTTCTCAGTAACATGAGTCTTCCTGGACTTTCCAAGTCTGCGGAGTGGGTTAGCCTGGGCTGTCTTCTGCCTACCTCCTAATGAGATTCTAGTTACTGTTATCCACGCTCTAATTATTTTCAGCAGTGCCTTGCAAAGCAGGACACGCAGGGCCAATGTGTGTCTAAGTGGTACAGCGAGTCTGTCTTTCTGACTGGTTGTATCTCCAGAGTCCAAAGCCACGCCTATAAAGTATTTTCCAATGGAGCAGTTACTATAGCTGCCTGTTTGCTTTATCTTATCATTGACTTTCTCCTTGTTCTCTGACATTTTTCCTTTCAGAGGATGGAACATTTAATTTAGAAAAGCTTCTGAGCCATTTGAAGTCACAGCTCTCATCTGCCTCTGAAAGTAAGGTTTTTATTTTTTCATTGAATGGAGATTGATAATGACACATTTTCGGTCTCTTGTTAAAAAAAAAAGAAAAGAAAAGAAAAGTAAAGAGAAAAACCTCAGGGCCTTTTCAGGATTAACACCATGAAAGGCCCAATGGAAAGGCTTAATTTCTAATGCCTTTGTGCCATGCATGTTTAATCTGTACACAACTGAAAAAGACCAGATAACAGGGGCTGTTAGTTAGCTAGCTCTTCTTCTAGTCTGGGAGCCAGAGTCTGGACGACTGCAGTTTTCCACTAACAGCCTAGTGAAGGTAAAAGTAACATTGGTTAAAGTGAATGAGCCAGTGCCTAGGATTAAATTACTTGGTTGTAACCAAAGTGTACTTATTAAACATGTTAGTATATGATAATTCACAAGTTCTTAATGCTAATTTATAGTTCTTCACTAAGAAACAAGAGAAAAGTTTTATTTATTAATTTATTAAAATTAAGACAATTTTTTTGTTTGTTTTGTTTGTTTGAATTTTTTTCTTTTGATATTTTAACTTTGATTTCTTCAGTTATTTTTGTGTATGAGCCTCATTTTTTCCCCCAGTAACTAAACTCAGTCTGGTAAAATTTTTGACGGTACTATACAGTGTTTTAAGGATTTTATCTTACTCTTTCAGTGTTCATAGCATTTTCTGATGAGCTCCTGTTTTGCATGTCTGCAGTACTGGAAAGAACAGTGGGATGACTAATTATGACTTTAAGCTGCAATTATATCCCCTTGCACACTGCTTCTCAGGGGCTTAAGGTTTACTCTTTTGGTTATTTCTCATGACTTTGGATAGACATGAATTTGAGGAACCAAAAATCATTATGGAGATTTTTTTTGTGGAAATGCCTTCTTTGGGGGAAGTAGTAATATTCTTCATCTATTTTAGTGTGTGTGTGTGTGTGTGTGTGTGTGTGTGTGTGTGTGTGCGTGCGCGCATGTGCGTGTATACCTGTACATGTGTGTATGTATGTACACATGTAGGCATCTGTTGAGGCCAGAAGAGGGTGTCAAATCCCTTGGAACTGAAGTTACAGGTAGTTTGAAGTTGTTTGACATGGATGTTGGAGACCAAAGTTTGGTCTTTTGCAAGAACAGAGAGCAATCTTGATCACTGAGCCAGCCCCCACAGCCCCCATCTACTTTTTAGAAATATTATCAACAACAAGGTAAAATATTATTATATCTCCTGAAAATATTGTCTATAATGTTATAAATGTTATAATGTGGTAAATAAAACGTCTTGAAACTTAACAACAACAAAAAAATATTTTCTCTCCAAAAATCCCAGTGTACTGATGTGGAATGTCTTTCTAGGTATGTGTTGTTCTTACTGGTTAATGAAAAAAGCTACTATGGCCTATGGCAGGGTAGAATATAGCCAGGCTAGAAGAGAGATGTATAGAGAGTAGGTGGAGTCAAGGAGACGCCCTGTAGCTGCCGAAGGAGAAAGACCCCTACTGGTAGGCCACAGCCTTGTGGTGATACATAGATTGATAGAAGTGTTAATATAAGATACAAGAGCTAGCTAAAAAATAGCCTGAGACATCAGCCAAACAGTATTGTAATTAATACAGTTTCTGTGTGATTATTCAGGTCTGGGCAGCTGGGAAGCAAACAAGCAGTCTCTATTACAGTGTACTTCTTTGTACAAATAATGAATAGCTCATGGTAGAGTTTATGTCTGAGCTACTAGGAACGGCCAGTCTAAATTTAATGTGCAGCCACTGTTACTTTTGTTTTATTTTTTCACTTACTATATTTATACTATATTTTATTTCTATTTTTACTTTAAGTGCATTAACCTTTCATTGAACAATTGTTAAGTTATTATGTATAACGAATGTTGATATGCTGAGTTTTCACATATATGCTTGGGACATTTTCATTTCTAATAATTTTCTTGTTGACCCATGGACCATTTGGATGTGTATTATATGGTTTCCTGATTTTTAAATTTGTTTTAATATTTCTTTTAATTTAATTTTGTTATAGTCATGGAATGTCTGGTCTATAGTTTCAATATGTTTATTGAAATTTCCAATTTTTTGGTATTTGTCTTATGGCCCCTAATATGTTTTTTTTCCCCTGTGTGTACTTGAAAACACTGTGTTCTTTAGTCAGAGAGCACAGCTGATAGTTTTTTCAGATGTTCCCTGTACTGTTTGCTTATAGTCTGCCAGTTTTTGAACTAACATTCCAGTGTTTATTGTATTTTTCATGTCAGTCTTTTTTTTTTAAAAAAAAATAGTTCTTTAATTGGTTCTTTGAAAATTTCACATCATACACCCCAATCTTATCACCTACTTCCAAGTCCCTCTATATCCTCCCCATCACTCCTGCATTATAACCCTCAAATTAATTAAAAACAAAGCAAGACAAACAAAATAAACAAAAAACCACCTTGCTCTTCCATCTTTCCAACACCTCTTCTTCGTTCATCCTATGGGCATTAGGAACTGCATTGTGTCATGCAGTGTATCCCTTTTGTCTTATCAGCCCCAACTACGAATGTTCATTGCAATGGTCATTAGTCTGGTCACTGGACCCGCATTGAGACTCCTCAGATATCCTATTGTTTCTCCAAGTCATGGAGATCTTGTCTGTGGTTATCTTTCAGTAGGATCAGTTCCTTCTCATACTCCATCAGGTCACAGTTGGGCAGATGTTAAGGTGGGTCAACCCAAGGCCCAGGTTGTAGGTCTGGGTGTTAGCTGAGCTGGTTGGTCTGGGCCACCCCCTCAGGTGAGGGGCAGAGTCAGATCTAGCCCCAGGTCATTAAGGTGGCCATCTCCCCTGAGTGGTGGGATCAGCTCTCCCATGGGAGGCAACACTAGCTCTCCTGCTTTGGTGTCCAGTGAGGGGCAGGACCAACTATCCCAGGGCCAGTGAGGGACAGGGCTGGCTCAGTGAGGTCCTCTGATTTTAACACTCATGGTTCCCAAAACCCCCTGTGTGGTAACACGGGTGTCTGGAATGGACATCATTCCAGACTCTGACTGCTTTTGGGCCTCGCACCCAGACATGGTTCCCAGCAGCAACCCAGGCTTGGATGTTACCATGGCCCCAGGTAGCAATGCAGGTCACTCAGATAGGCATAGTTCCCTGTGGCAGTGTATCCCTTGGACACCAACATGGCCCCAGATAGCGGCTTAGATGCTGGCATGGACATTGCTTTCGACAGTATCAGAAGCCATGGATATCTACACAGACCCTGTCTGCAGTAGGGCCACAGATCCAGACATAACCCTAGGTGGCATCCCTGACCCCGATGTCACCATGGTCCCAGTGTTCCCGTCAGTCTTAAGTAGCACTGATTGTATTCAATGCATTTTACTTTCCCTCTGCTGTAAACTGAGACTGCTCCTTATGTGGCTACCCAGACCTGAATAATCACACAGAAACTATATTACAACACTGTTTGGCAGATAACTCAGGCATGTTGCTAGTTAGCTCTTTTATCTTAAATTAACCCATCTATATTCATCTATGTATTACCACAAGGATGTGGTCTGCTCCAGATAGCCACGCCTTAACTAGGCTCCACTTTTTAAGGTGATTGGTTAACAGAGCTTCCCCCATCAGTTTTTTATTTTATACTTGTTAATAAAGACAAAATAACGAGATAAGATATCTTAATGAATCTATAGGTAAATGAAGAGTTAATTAATTAACTAATTAAATAACTGCCTAATTTCTAGCCAGTGTTAGATATTGTGCTATGAGTAAGAATGAGTAAAATTTAATTGAAATATTTTATTAAATTTTTTCATTTTTACCGCGCCAGCGCGGGCTGGAACCAAGAATCTCGGCGGAGGGTGTCCAGGTTGAATGAATTCACAGAGCATGAGGTTGAGGTGGAACAGCTTATTTATTGTTCTGCTGGGGCTAGCTTTTATACCATGGCACCAAAAGAGGAGGGGGCTGCGAAGGGACTGTCACCTGACCCCAGCAGGGATCAAGGAATGATCACCATGCACTCAAAATTCCTTTCCCAACTCCAGGAGCAGAGGGAATTTATTATGTTTTCTTTGCAGATAAGCACCTCAAATGGGGGCAGGGATGTAACTCAGGGCTGCAGTTCCCACACATTTTATTTTATGTATAAATGTTTTGCCTGCATGTATGTAAGGACACCATCCATGTGCTTGGTGCCCTTGAACGTCTAAATAGGGCACTGAATACCCTGGAAACTGAAGTTATGGATGGCTGTAAACCACTGTGTGGGTTCTGGGAAGAGCAAAAAGTGCTTGTAACCACCAAGCCATCTCTCCTACTCCAAAATCGAAATTTCAAACTAATAATATATATTACTATATATATAAAGTATAAAATATATATATTTATATATATAATATATATAAATGTATTTAAAGTATATATACTTTATATATAAATATAATATATAAATATATAAAATGTATTTAAAGTATATATATACTTTAACATATATTATATACTTATATAAAGTATATATGTACTTTAACATATATTATATACTTATATATAGTATATATATACTTTAAATACATTTATATATGTGTGTGTATGTATGTATATATGCTTTTGGCAAAACAGAAACAACACATCTATTTAAAACACTCATTTTATTTCTTAAATACTCTTTTAATAGTTGGTTTTGCATGTAAATTTGCCACTAGATGCTTATTTATGAGACCTTTCATTTCTGTTGACTGCTCTATGTCAGATAAAACAGCGACACTATGGTTTTGAAGTAGCAGACCATCTGTGATATTTTAGATCTTGGTGAAATAGAACTAACAAAAATGACAAATGTTAATGAAAACTAACTTAAGTAATTGTACATTTAATAAAGAAAGACTATAACTTTGGGACTTTAAGGAAAAATACTTCTAGACTTAGCTATTCTATATTGTCACAATGAATTAGACAACCATATAGACATGATATTATATTGAATTAAATTTTTTCCTAATGTTTTCATGGTTCTGGGGGTTGAACTCAGGACCTTGCTCATGCTAAGCAAGAACTCTGCTGCTGAACTATAATCTCTAGATATTTATCTAACTTTATGATGATTCATGTCATAAAGTATAACATAGACCCAGGGACAGTTTTCTTCTGTTTCAAACAGTTTGTAGGACTTACACAGACAACCTATTTTTACGTGATTTCATATGTTCTTTAATTCTATCATGTCACGTTTTCTTAGGAGAAAAGGCTGATGTCACTGCTATAGACGAGGCTTTGAGAAACACGGACACAGCACTCACCGACGAGGAGGAGAAGATTCTGTTTGAACACCTGCCGGCTCTTGGTGAGGGTTTAAAGCACTCATAGTAGTTAACACACTTGAGTTTATTTGTTGAGTTTTCCCTGTGGGAGTTTCTGGTACCAATGTAAGCCATCTACGCTAGCTCTTTTCAAAAGCAATCATTACAGAATTACAAGTCTTGCAGCTTACTGTTTGATAGGCTGAGATGTGTGAACATAAATGAGGTAGCTGCTTCATTCTGCTGCCAGGTAGGAATTACTGCTTAAAGCACAGTTTTTCTTCCTTTTTTAAAAAAATTGTTTTTAAAACAATGTATTTTTTTAAAACTATGTATTTTTTCCCACTCCCCTCTCTCCCTCTCCCCTCCCCTTTAACCCTCTCTCACGATCCCCATGTTCCCAAGTTACTCAGGAGATCTTGTCTTTTTCTGCTTCCCATGTAGATTAGATCCGTGTATGTCTCTCTTAGGGTCCTCTTTATTGTCTAGGTTCTCTGGGGTTGTGAACTGTAGGCTGGTTTTCTTTGCTTTATGTCTAAAAGACACTTATGAGTGAGTAGATATTATATTTGTCTTTCTGGGTCTGGGTTACTTCACTCAATATGATGTTTCCTAAATTCATCTATTTGCCTGAAAATTTCAAGATGTCATTATTTTTTCCCCTGTATAGTATTCCATTAAAGCACAGCTTTTCAAAGGCTATCCTGCTCTTCAAAATCCCTCCAATGGTTATCAACTTTTTTTTACCATCATGTCTTTAATCCATTTTGGACTAATTTGTATATAGGGTTAGAGATGAAGAATAGTTTCTATATGTGGATATCCAGTTTCTCTTGAATCACTTGCAACTTGATAAAGATGGTATAGCTTTTTCAATGTATGTTTTGGGCACCATTGTTAAGAATCAAATGAATCTAGCTTCTTGGGCTTATTTTTATTCTTTTGGTCATGTGTCTGGATTTTTGGCAGTGCCATGCTGTTTTGGATAAGATAGTTTTATGTTTAAAGTCTGGAATTAAGGTACCTCCAGGACTATTCTTTGTGCTCAGGGTTGTTTTTGGCTATCCAGAGTCTCTTTAATACATACAAATTTTAAGGTTGTTTTGTCCATTTTCGTGAAGGATGTCACTGTCTTATTTTTATCATGATAACATTAAATCTGTAGATTGCTATTGTTTATATGGTCATTTTTACAATGTTATTTCTGTTACTCTATCAGTATGGAGGGGTCTTCCCCTCTTTTAGTGTCTTCTATGGTTTCTCTCTTCAGTGCCTATGCACTCACAGTGATGGTCTTTAATATGTTTGGTTAAGATTTTGCCTAGGTATTATTTTTATTGATTCTTAGTTCAAGATATTAAACGGCCTGATAGAGTCTTTCAGGGGCTCTCAAATTCCCCTCTAAAACATCACGCTGCCATCATCTGCATTTGTCTCAGCACCATCCTTCACGTTTCCACAACAGCTCATTAAGCTTTGAACACACGGTGGCTTTTTACTTTAAAGTTCCAAGTCCTTCTGTATCCTCCCCTAATCAATGCTGCCAGGGCTGTCATAGTTTTCACTCCCAGGTAACAATTTCTATCTTAGTTAGGATTTCTATTGCTATGACAAAACACCAACACAAAAGCCATTTATAAGAGGGAAGAAAAGTTGGTTTCTGCTTACAACTCCATGATCACATTCCATGACTGAGGGAAGAAAGGGCAGGAACTCAAGTCGGAAACATGGAGGTGGGAACTGAAGCAGAAACCTTGGCAGGGTGCTGCTTATTGGCTTCCTCTGTATGACTTGATTGACCTGCTCCAACAGGTCAACTTATACAACTTTATACAACTCCAGGCAACCTGCCCAAGGTTGGCACCACCTACAGAGGGATTGGCTACGCTACCCTATATCCATAGGATCAGCTAGGCTCCCCCACATCCATCATTAATCAAGAAAATACTCAACAGACTTGCCTATAGACCATTCTTATAGAGACTTTTCTCAGTTGAGAGTCCCTGTTCCCAAATGACTTTAATATGTGTTAAATTGACATAAAACTGGCAAACACACTATGTAATTCAGGTTTTCTTTCTACACAGGTAATTATCAAGAATATATGGAGGCTGGCGGGTAATATTAGTCTATGCTGTCATGACTTATAACTTTGCAAGTGAAATTCATATCCCCATAACTTACTTTTATAGACTTCCAAATGTGAAAACAGAAAGATAGATTGCTGGTTTTTCTCTTTGCATATATTCAGCATATACCTTTGTTTTCTGTGCAAACCTATCCCTCAAGGCTCTAAGTCCCAAAGTCATGTCTTACATCCAAAGACTAGATTAAAAGTTCAGCATAGTAGACTGCACATTTCAATGTGATATTATCATCATCATCCTATCCATCATCTTTAGGGGAAAGATGCCTAGTATTGCTTTTCTTCTTTACATTGGAACAATAGAAGTAAACTCTGCTTCACTCACTTTCAAAAGCATTAAAATCAGTATCGTTTATGTAGGATGTGTGTTGTCTTCCGCACTTTTCTGTGGACACCCGAACCTTGAAACAGGCGCGCGCTTTCCTGACCCGAGCCCACGAGAATGGACAATTGTCCTAGGGGTTTGAACAGAGACGACACACACACACAAAGAGACTTGGCTCATCTGCCGAGGAGCAGCGGCAAATGGCAGCTTTATTAAGCTTTAGTCGGATATATATACTGTGGGGCAAAAGGACACCAGCCCCCACCAGGATCAACTAAAAAGGGAAGTCAGGGATCCACACCCAAGGTCGGAGAGCAGCAGATCAGAGAAAAGAGGAAGCCAGGTGGGCGTGCTCAGGTTCAGGGACGAGCTGACCCGGGAACCTTGCCTGCGGGGAGAACCTTGCTTGCAGGTGGAACTACCACAACGGTTAAGGGAGAGTTCTTTCTAAGCTACACCTTTGGGCCGTAGGCAAAACTGACAAAACAGGAGAAGGCAGTTCTATGCCACACCTTTAAGCTGATGCAGTGGAACCAGGAAGCAGAACAGCCCTGCATAGCGCCTCAGGAAAAATGGGGAACCTGTGTACCTACAGATGTGCCATGTGCCAGGCATGGGTTTGGCACTCCATTGCTCTGAGGCAGGTGCTGTTAGGTTGTCTGTTAGAGAAATGGGGACACGGAACTAGAAAAGAGGAGGAAATCTAGAGAAAATAACACAGATGACCCAACACACTATTTTCTGAGTACTAGTGCTATGTATATGAATTTACTTTACAGATGATGGAGAAGTGGATATGGAAACATTGATCAGGGCCATGAAGATGCTCAGAGGTGAGCCACGTTGCTAATGAGACTGATCAGGGCACTGTGCTCATTTCCGTCTTTAATTTTCCAATTTTTCTCTTACTCCCTACATGTCTCCTTTCCCTTTTATGTCCTGGTCCCTTTTTTAAGTTCTATAAACTCCACCTTTGAGAGAAAACATATGAGACTATCTTTTCTGAGTATAGCTTAGTTTGCTTAACATGATCTCTAGCTTCATACATTTTACTCCAAATTAAAAAAAAAGTCTTCATTAGTCCGAATAAAACTTATTTGCTAAATAAAACTCTTTCCCCTTGCTGGGTTTGTGTGTGTGTGTGTGTGTGTGTGTGTGTGTGTGTGTGTGTGTGTGTTTTGAGTCTGTCCTGGAACTAGTTCTTGTAGACCAGGCTGGTCTCGAACTCACAGAGATCCGCCTGCCTCTGCCTCCCAAGTACTGGGATTAAAGGCGTGCGCCACTGCCGCCCAGTTTCCTTGCTGGGTTTGTAACTTGGCTTTTGTGAATGGCCACAGTAAGCTTGGTACTCAATTATAGCTGACTTTAATTCTTTTGTATATATGCCTAGAAATACAAAACAGGACCATATGAAAGGTTTTGTGGTTTTTTCCCCTAAAGAAATGCCATACCGAGGCTTGTAGTGCTTAGAATAATTTATGTCCCCACCAGGAGTATTAAAGTATTCCTTTTCTCAGTTCCTTGTCAACATTTATTTTTAATATTTATTTATAATAATTCTTTATTAAATTGATTATTTTTACTATTTATTGAAGTGATTGAAAACTAAGATGTAGGGGCTTGGAGAGATGGCTAAAGTCATTCATGCAAACAAAACACTCATATGCATAAAATTGAAAAAGAGAAAAAACTCATAAGAAAGTCTAAATGGCAAGCAAAGATTAAAAATGAAAAAAAAATCTCTTTTTGCACCTTTCCAATGTGACTTTCCTTCAGAAAGCCACTTCTAAAAGTATTTGGTCTCAGTTTTTTCATAATAATTTCTATAGCTGTATGTTGATGTATTTGTAGTAGTGACTGCCAAGCTTCTTGCTGTTTGACTCTCTTATATTCTTAAAAATTATTAAAGATATTAAAGTGTTTTTGTTCATATAGGCTTTATCTATTAATATCTACCAAATTAGGGAAATTTAAAACATATAATAATTTGTTTATCATATAACAATACTCAAATATGTTAATGAATTGAATGCTTTTATTAAAATCATTTTCTTAAATTTAGTGAAAAGGACAGTGTCCTACACTTTGTCGCTCTCCAGTTGGGTTGCCATATCTTCTTGAATTGACTCGGTAACAGTGTGGTTGAAATATATGACAAAAATGTGGCCCGACTGGGGGTGGCAATGTAAATTAATCCAGTCGCTATAGAAAGCAGTATGGAAGTTCCAGGAAAAGTCAGGAATAAGAGTTCCCTGTGATCCAGCCATACCATTACTTGGTTCATAGGTGAAAGGAGGCTGAATGATAAATTGAAGGTTAATGGTAATGCATTCTTAGAAAATAGCCACAGAAAACTCAATGTATGGAATATTTTAATAGTAACTAGTTTAAGATTTGTTCTCAATTAAACTGTTGCTTTCAACCCAAATTTATATATATATTATTATCTGTTGCTGTAGAATACGGTCTTTACTGTCTGTAGTCGTCTTCCAAGATCTACTTCAGATCAGTTATGAAGAGCTACTTTTGCTTTGGCTCTTTAATCTGTTGAATAATTCTCACTTTTTTTGCTCTACAACAGTAAAGTGTTGTATTTTCATGCATTGAAATCATTATAAGATAACATTTTTATCATTTACTTTTCTATGTCTTCAAAGAAAAAAATGATATTGTTAATCTGTCCAACTTCCTGCACAATCTGGGCATTCAGCTTTCAGATGATGAACATGATGACCTAGTCAACCATCTCCCTGCCAGTGGTGAGCATTTCAACTGTTTTGATGCCTTTCAAGTCTGACTTTCAGAATTAGTTATAAGGATATCGATATCATACAGCTGTATTCGATACTTGTTTCATTTATTGCTTAGTTACTTTGAAAGTATACTGACATATCTGGTACTAAAGGAGGGAATGTGTTTGTATGTGTTTACTTATAATTTGGACGTTTAAATAAATAATAAGATTATTAAGCAGAAAATAGTTGAACTCTAGATGTTACACACTAACTCAGAAACATCATTGAGTCATTAGGAAGCCTAACACAAGCAGAGAAAAGAAGACAGGGAGACAGGGAGGGCATAGAGATAGGCAGAGAAACTGAAAACAAGAAGACAAGGTCCACAGAAGCCTTGTCTGTGAGTTACTAAGAACAGCTGTAGAATTTATGACACTTAAAACATTTGTGTTAATCACAGAAGTAAAGGAGATATTTCTAGTACATGCTATGTAGCAATTTAATTATTTTATAATTATTTTAAGAGTAAAAAAGTAACAGTCTACAATAAATATAGTTATCTGTACTCCTTTATATTGAACTAGCAATGTCAAAGTACAAGTGTAAAAGAAGTATTTCTAATTCTTGTGATTTATTTTTAATTTGTTCATTAATTACATAGATATGCTAGAAGTTATACTAGATTCAAGGAATACAAAGAAGAAATAAATTTGTTCCTACTAGCAAATAATGTATAATTTACTTGGAAGCAGGTTGAAAATATAAAGAAAATTACATAGTAAAATTTAAAAAGTGCTCCAATATTCTTTTGGAATGATGGTAGGGAAAGGGAAGTAGAAGGAAATAATGATCACTTCCAGGTAACTGTAAGTGATTGAATCAGATGAGGATTTTTTCTTTTGCTTGTCTATTTTAGGAAGTTAGGGCTAGAAGAAGGCAAAGCTGTATCTTAGAGCGTCTGTACTTTGTCCTACAGACCATAGTGTAGGAAGAACTGCCAAAGATTTTCTTGGTTGTAAATGGCATCATGTCTTGAACACTGTATCCCAAAAGTTACTGGACCAAGGACTATAGAATGTGATTTAGTAGTTATCTTAAATTCTAAGTACATTTTCACGTGCTTGTCAGAGTCAGAATACATGAAAATATCTACACTATATTCACCTAAGTGTCTGTAATGAACAAATGGATAAATATAGGATTCTATATTCAACCTTTTAAAAGGAATACATTCTGTCACTTGCAATAACACAGTAGACCTGAAGGGGAACATGCAAACTGATAAGAACCAGGCACAGAAAAACAATATCACCAGAGTTCACTTATATGTGAAATTCTCATGTGTGTATATGTGCATGTAAATGTTTCTTCTGCATTTTCTTTCTTTGTTTTTTCTATGTTTGTGTGTTCATTTTGTTTTATTTGGGATTGTTTGTTTGTTGATTGGCCTGTTTGTTTTCTAAAATGAGAAAGAAAGAAGGCAGGAGTTGGAAGGGTGGGTAGGTGTGAAAGATCTGAGAGGAGATGAAGGAAGGAAACCATGATCAGAATATACTGTATGAAAAAAAGTTACTTTCAACAAAAGGGGGTTATTTAAGCTAAAAATAGGTTAAACATGTGGATAGAAATAGACAATTGTTAACAGACGTTTCTATCCCACCCAGTCCTGCAGCTGTTCAGTCCCAAAGAAACACACAGAGGCTTATATTAATTATAAGCTGTTTGACCAATTAGCTCAGGCTTATTATTGCCTAGCTCTTACAACTTAAAATTAACCCATAATTCTTGTCTATATTTAGCCACATGGCTTGGTACCTTTTCTCATCTTGCTTTCTCCATGTCTGGCTGGTGCCTGACTCTCTGCTTTTCCTCTTCCTCTAGTTCTCCTAGTCTGATTGCCCCTCATATACTTCCTGCCTGGCTACTGGCCAATCAGTAAACTAATACAAGTAACAAATCTGTTCAGTGTACAAGAACATTATCCCACAGTGGACAAATAGTAGTTGTCAATATGCTCAACATGTACTGGTCCAATAAAGTCTAAAAATAAACTTCAATTTGACAAGGAAATTAATTCAGGAGACCTGCCATACTTCATGGCAACCACAATGAGTGAATTATATACTTAAAGGTTGCTAAGTAAGGGGCCAGTGAGATGGCTTAGTAGGTAACGGAAAATCAAATTTTGCAGATTTTCTTTCTACACTGCCTTCTAGAAGTTGCAGTGCTTTTGGTCTGAATCCAGTATCATTACTACATTTGTTAAGTCCTTGTATCTTTTCTCACAATTGATGGGAAGATAAGTCAGCTTCAGCTGATGGACACCATCAAGACTCTTAAAAGTGAGTAATAGGTGTGAAATCAAAATCTTAAGCTGTCGTCTTACTGTTTAACAATCGAATGTTATCTGTGATTACAAACATGCATATTAACATTATACAAACTTGGAGAATATATAGAAGAAATAAAAAAGACCAAAGAAGACCACCTAGACTTAAAAATCAAAGTAAAAAATAACAATGTTTATCCTTCAGTATATATTCTCTTATATGTTGTGCACCAAAAATTTGACTTTGGGTTTCTTTATTTTGTTCATACTATTTTCAGTTATAAAGTGCTAACTATTTTATTGATGGAAAATAATTTATATCCATTGATACTGAGTTTCTTCTACAGCAGAGAATCTGCAACTGTAGCATTAAACATCATCTAAGATCCCTTTTAAACCTATTTCTAAATCATGTATTTACTCTGGCTTTCATTTTTTAGACCTGCATAGAAATGCTAATTTTATAAAACCTCAATAATCAAATTATTTCAGTAGCTGAATATCTAATTGGAACTCTGGAGAAATTGATTGTCTTAAAGGGGATAAATACCATTTCTAGTTTAGTTTATAACCAGTAGACAAAATAATTGAATTATTTTATTCATGATGCAATTTATTAGTAGACAATTACAAATTTCACATTTTACAACTTTGGATTAGTCTTATCAGGTAGAACTATAAGCTTGAAGAGGATTAATGATATCTGGTCCTCTGTATGACTTTAATATTTATGTTGTATCAACTTTGAAAAGCATTTCATTGGACAGCCTTGCTTTGTACTTTGAAACCAGGAAACAAATGTTTAGAAATAGAATGTGAGTGCCCAAACATTATATGTGGTCGTGTATGCACACTGTAGTGAAGAGGCAAGCAAGCCTGCTTTTCGTCCTGCCAGGCTCCTGCACGGCTAGCTCTACACCCGAAATAACAACACACAAATTGTATTCATTTAAACACTGCCTGGCCCATTAGCTCTAGCCTTGTACTGGCTAACTCTCACATCTTGATTAACCCATTTCTGTTAATGTGTTTAGCACCACGAGGTGGTGGCTTACAGGGAAGATACTAACCTGCGCCCATCTTGGGCTGGAGCTTCATGGCGTCTGCCTGCCTCTGATTTCTTTCTCCCAGCATTCTGTTCTGTCTACTCCACCCACCTATATTCTGACCTATCAGGTCAAGCAGTTTCTTTATTAGTTAACCAATGAAAGCAACACATAGAAAGAAGACCCACCTATATTATGCACACCATTATGAATTGTGTAAAAAATATTTGTCTTGTCTTTCTTAAGGAGGAAAGGTTGACACCGCAAAATTAGACAATGTCCTGGCGAAGCTGGAAGAGAAACTCACAAACAAAGAAGTTCAACATCTGCCAGTTGACAGTAAGCATGTCTGCTGTTATGGTATTATCTAAGGGAGTTAGGTTTATGTTTACGGAGTTGTTAAATTACATTTATTTCTCTGTATTGGAGCTTTGTGACATATTCAGAAAGACTAAGTCTTGAATTTGAATTTATCAAAGTATTGTCCATCTGAGGTGTTCAAATGATCCAGCAATGGAAAATCGTGTGTCTTAACACCATCCACTCCCTCTTGCCATCCTTAGAAAAGTATTTTGGAAATTATCTGAATTAATGTGGCTTTGAGCTAAAAGGTTAATTTTTATGCTTTCAAGCTTTTAAATGTAGACAAGGAAGGAGTTGGAGGGAGGGGACTTGGGATAGGCAGAGAGAAGAAAAAGAAGGGGGAAATGATATAATCATAATTTAATTAAAATGTACAAAAGTGAAAATATGTAGATCAAAATGTGCTCTGAATTCATTAAAAATTATCTTTTATAATTCTTTGGTATAACTGTCATATGTAAATAATTCTTCAGGATGTCTTTGCTGGGAGTGACTTAGTTTAGGAAAAGAAAACAGAAAGGAAAGGTAAGAACATGGGCAAATGGAAAGAGAAGGAACAAGATTTGAAAGTAGGACAGCAAGAAGTACTGAAAGAAAGAAAGGCAACTTGATTCAGCAGTTTCTAGAGATGGGGAGTAGACTGAAGGCTCATGGGTAGGATCTGGTTCTTATTCTATCATGGCAGTGTCCTGATTCTAATCAAAACTTAGTTTTATATATTTAAAATACATTAGTGGATTTGCAATGTAAGGCATTCTGTTTTCAAAATGATTTTTATTACAACTGATGGAAAAGTAGCTCTAAATACACTTCTGGATGAAGTTGATCGTCTTAAAAAAGAGGGTGAGTACAAAATTATGACAAAAATAAGAAATCTTAATCTGTATACACAAAATTACTGTATGTGACACATGCTACTTTGGTCCTTTGCACTTTGGAAAATAGTGCTCATTACAGTTTTTGACCAGGAACTGAGAATTTTCTAACAAGGTAGACCACATTCTGGATAGACTTCATAACAAAATAACACTTATTCATTTAGCTAAAGTTTTAATCTTGCTTTGTGTATTTTCAGTTCGATAATTTATTTAAACAGTCTTTACTGAGTCTTGAAGTTCTAGGTGCCTCTCTAGGTGTAAGAGATGCAGTATGTAATCAGACAATTTCCTTGTGTTCATGAAACTCATATTCTTGGTAAGCGGGGCAGAAATTAACAGAAAAATAAAAGTTTTCAAAAGCAGCAATGCTATTGACAAAAAAACATGTCGTGATCGACAGCAACCGAGTGCTGACTTTTCCTTAACTTAGATTTGGTGGGTACGGAATGCCTAGGGTGATACCTCAGTTGAAGCTTGCAGCCAACTTCCTCTTAGGACTTTGGTCAAGTAGATGTTTCATCAACATCAATCGAATGGAATAAAGTTTGCTTCTGATTCGGTATCAAATCTCGTTTTACTTGGAAAGATTTTGAACCTAGTAAGGATAATATATGGACATTGTTTTTAGATCATAGAGTTGTAACACCGTTTTCAAAGTTTGTTCTCTTTCCTAGAGGGGAAGGCCGATGTTAGTGAACTTGACACTGTTTTGGAGAAAATGGGACCGGATTTCTCTGACGAACCGTCTGAAGGACTGGCACCGAGTTGGCATGGTAATTATGAGCATGCCAGACATCACTCCTCAGAGTGTGGGATACTGGGTTTTTGACCTCACATTCCTGAAATTTGAGCCACCAAAGACAGCTGAACATATCTTAAAATAATCCTGCCTGAATGAATTCTCTCTAGCTGAAATAAACCTCACTTTTAGGGTAGTTGATGTTTATTGTTTTAAAGTCAAAGTTACAAACCATGCACTTTAAGCTGTATTTTGGATAAGAAAATTACAAAATGTTTACAAGAGGTGTCTTCCCTCTATGGTGCATTAAAGTAGAGGGGGGAAAGAAACATATAGGAAAAAATACAAGTGAAAATAATTTGGGTATTAGAAATATGAGATTAATAAAGACCCTCACCGCAGATTAAATATGGTTATGATCAGTTTAAACACTACTAGTGTGGGTCTGAGGAGATGGCTCCATTGGTGAAGCGCTTACTACTCAAGTGTGAGGCTATGAAGTGTGCATCTGTAATTTCCTTGCTGGGGACGTAGAGACAGGAGAATTCATGGGGCTTAGTGGCCAGCCAGCTAGCCAACTGAGTTCTTGGTTCAGTGAGACCCTGTCTCAATAAATATGATAGGGAAGAATTGAAGACACCTGACATCAACATGCATACCACATGTACACATGTACTTGTACACACACATGCACACACACACACATGCACAAGCATGCACACAAAATACTGGTGGAAGATGGTGCTGCTTTTAAATCATACTCCAAATTGGAACAAGGGCCAGTTTGGGAATTTGAATGTGTCCGATCTCATATGCTCTGTTCACAATTAAGAGTTTCACAGGGGTTGCAGATTTAGCTCAGTGGTAGAACATTTGGCTAGCAAGCATGAAGCCCTGGGTCCTGTCCTCAGATGTGGGGGAGAAAAATAATTTTACAGTTTGTAAATCTCATTTTGGTCTTTGTGATGTGAATCTTGTCCTGTGTTTGATGGGAAAGTTCAATTTAGTAAGCCAGGGAGTCGTATTCTACTGTTCCTAGGATGAGGTTAAGATACTAATGCTTTAAAAACTATACTTTTAGACCCCACACTCAGAGGCTAAAGTTGTAGGATTTATGGCACAGGCCAAAGCATTAAGCGTTTTTGAAACTTAATGTTTTCAAATGTTAAAATCCCTAACTTCACACATAGGCTTTACAATTTAGTGGCATGCACACACCTGTCAACTAGAAGGGTTGTCACCAGACACTGAGAGTTTTTTTCTTCAAAAATAACTTTTCATTCTTTATGAATTTTTAAAAACGTGACTCTCTAGAAATTTATTAAATTAAATTTTCTTTCTTTCCTTGAGCAAAAAAAAAAAAAACAACAGATTAGAGACCTCAAGAGAAAAAAAAATCAGAATAATGAGTCTAGAAAATTTTTATTTAAAATTAACTTTTTTGTTATTTTTAAATTACATGTGTATCTATGTGTGAATGTGTGCATTGAGTACAGGTGCCTGCAGAGGCCAGAGGAGAGCATTGGATGCCCTGGAGCTGGAGTCACAGGTGATAGTGAACTGCCTGATGTGGGTGCTGGGAACTGAACTCCAGTCCTCTTCAAGATCAGAAAACACACACACACACACAAAAAAAAAAGAAAAAAAACAAGATCAGCAAACACTTCTTCCGATCTCGTTACTCCTTTAAGTCATTATTCTAATGCCCTAATGTAGTTTAACATTATAATACTTCAGATGACAGAGTATGTGTGCTATTCTAAGAGAGCTCATTTCTCGTGTTTTTGTGGGATGGGATGGAAATATAGACATGTGACTATAATGAAAATCATGTGGGTTGCCTGTGTTGTTTCATAGTTAAGACTTTTTCATTGTTTGTGAATCTCACAGTGGTCTCTGTGCTTTGTACTTTGTCTTGCAGTTCAGCTTAGCAAACTATTGGGTGAAGTTCCTCAAGTTTCAGGTAAGCTGATTCAAAGTGGAGGAGATACCAGTGCTTTGAAAATATATTTTTGCCAAGCATTCTAGTGCATGCCTATTATCCCGGAACTCAGGAGGCTGAGGCTAGGAGATTGAAAGCTTGAAGTTTTCTGAGGCTTAGCTTTTAACTTAAAGATATATTTCTTGTTTGCATGTGTATGCATGTATGTGCTTATATGTGTACATGTGTGTGGGTACATGTGTCAGAGAGTACTTGTGAAGGTTTGAGGGCAACTTTTGGGATCTGGAGCTCAAACTCAGGTTATCAGGCTGTGTAACAAGCTTTACCCACCGAGTCTTCTCGCTGGCCCAAGATTAGCTTTTTGTGTCAAAGGTGACCTACTTGCCTGGAAAGCTCAGAATAGACGTGGTGAAGGCCCCTTCTTGTTAATCACATTTCCTCAGCCTCCGAATGTGCTGCTTATGGCCCACTTAGATGATGAAGAGGAACTTTTGGGGAGGATGCTTCTAATGACACTCAGCAATTTCACAAGGAGTTGGTACAACCACCCAGATTTATACAGCCTGAATTCTCTGAGTATGAGGATGCTATGGGCTGGAAGGCAATCACTAAAATGGAAAAGCATCAGCAGGGCCACATGAACCACAACAGTTAGGAGTCTCAATAACTGTGGGAGCTGGAGCCAGAGCTGGAGCCGGCTTGACAGCTTGACAGGAGCACTACATCATTCTGGAGGCAAGATTTGATGAACTTCCAAGAACACTGGTGAATGGAAGAACTGGACCACCAAAATGAAGCAGTTGGAGCTCACACAAGAGGAGTGCAGACACTGTGAGGAAGGAATGTGGTGGTGAGGAGTGATAGGCTGCCCCGCAGGAAGGAGTTAAGGGAACTTTCCCCATTGTGAAAGGATGTACTCCAGCTCCTCCAGTAACGGGCACTCAGATGCCGTATGGAACCTTGGGATTCATTCTACCAACAAGAGTGTTTCCACTAAGTTGTTAGAATAGAAGGGATTGGAGTACTTGATGGAAATTGCTACTGCGTTCCACGGTGCAGCCCCTGGAACTTCCTTAGCTCCAAACAATGTTGCCATTGCCAATAAAGTCCAATAAATTTGCAGTGTCTACTTTCCTACAACTAGAGGCATCCTAGTTGGACTAGCCATAATTCTATCCAGGAAAGGTGTCAGGATTCCTCCCAGTGGATGTTTCTTCCCTGTCATAGGTTTCCATTGCTGTAATAAAATGCCATGATTGAAAGCAACTCAGGGAGGAAACAGTCCCGTATTACAGCCATTCATCAAAAGAAGTGAGGCTGGTGCTCAAGTTGGGAGCTGGAAGGCAGAAACTGAAGCAGAGGCCATGGAGGAGTGCTGCTTCATTGCTTGCCCTCCATAGCTTGCCCAGCTTGCTTTCTTATACAACCCAAGACCAACTGCCCAGGGGTGGCACCATCCACAGTGAATTGGGTCCTTCTACATCAATCATTAATCAAGAAAAATGTTCCAAAGGCTTGCTAACAGGCCAATCTGTGGAGACATTTTCACAACTGAGAGTCCCTATTTTCCAAAGACTCTAGCGCAAAAATTTGACCAACAAAACAAAACAAAAAAAACCTGCCCTGGACAATACCTTGATCTTGAACATTCACCCACAGCTGATGTTTTATTTGAAAATAACTTTCTGTTGTTTATAATTTAAATGCTGTGTGGCTTGCTAGATATTCTGTAAGTTTCATTTTCTTCCTTGAGTATAAAAAGAGCAGATTTGATAGCTCAGGGAAAACATCAAATGGTGGGTTTGGAGAAGAATTCCTTAAACTCTTATATCATTGATCTAACACCACAGTGTGGCTTAGCATTGCAGTGTGTTAATAAACACAGGATATGTGTACTATTGTTTTATGAGAGCTCATTTATCATTTACTTATGGTGCATGGAAGAATTATAGAAATATGACTCTGGTGAAAATCATGTCAGTGTCTTATATTCTGCTTCACAATTAAATTCCTCATTGTGAATCTCAGTGGTTTACCAAGTTAACTTTTGTGTCAACTGTAAAACAAATCACGAGGCCCATAATAAGATTCACAATGAGTATTTCTTGTTTCCTTAAAGTTCTTTGAATGTCCTTAAAACAGCTATTTTAAATTTATTAGAGTTTATACTGATCACGTGTGTGTGTGTGTGTGTGTGTGTGTATGTGTAAGCCAGAGATTGACATCGTGTATTCCTCAGTCATTCTCTAATTCTTTACCTCATTCTTTGAGCCTGAGTCTCTTACTGTTGGTTAGGCTGGCCAACAAATCCAAGGGATACTCCTATCTCTACCTTATCTAGGTTACAGGCTATTTCTACCCTGCTATGTTACAAGCATGCGACGAAGCGTCTAGATTTTACTTGGGTGCTGAGGATTCAAACACAGGTACCATCCTTGTGCAGCTAACTCCTTACCTGCCAGCCCATTCCCTAGCTTCTAGCCTCAGATCTTGGTGCCTCATCTTGTCTGTTAAACTTGACCATGGTTCCCTTTAGTTCTTGGAGATTTGGGACCTCTTTCATCATCTGCACACTGAGGCTTAAGCGTCTACTCCAGTCCTCATAACTTGGCTTTCCTCCTCCTAGAAACACTGGCAAGCTTCTTGTCTTCTGTACCTGTGATTGCGGCTCCTATTTCAGCACAAAGTGTGCCCCAAATCCAGATTTACTGCCAGCCCACACTTGGTGTACTGTCACTGTTTCGACACTAGAGACTGCTGTAAGCCCAAGTTATCCCAAATCTGCAGTTGTTTTTAAGGTTGGACTGGAAGAGAAAATATTAGTTCATCCCAGGGACGGGGTAGCCCAGATGTCTTCTACATAGCCATCGACTTGTGTTCAGATAATTCCCCAGGCTTGGCTTCATCATAAGGATCCAGTTTTAGTCACCAAATCAGCAAGTCATACCTCCCTCCCCTCCCTAAAGCAGAGAATGATTCTCTTTGTGCTGTACTGCCTCAGAATTTGGAAAGTAGAAGGTGGGCAATTTCACGGCTACAAATGCTACAGCACGAAATCACAGCTGTTACCCACAGCCTGCTAAAATCAGAGTAGCACAGAGGTGGGAACAAGGTCTACTCTGTATGACCTGACTGTTGCTATGAGTGTGTATGTGGCTTGAAAGATCTACAGGTATCCAGGGATGCTGATACACAGAATCCAAGTCCATCTGATTGCTGTTACTGGTCTTTGCCTGCTAGACAGGCAAGTTTGGAGGCTTTATCCACAGGTAGGGGAGAGGAGCTGGTGAAGTCTGCTCAGCTTTTGGGTTCAGCTACCCAGCACTGAATTCCAAGGTAAAGTCTTATGTTCACCCAGCAATTGGTTAAGCTGTGCTGGCAAAGGTTTGAGAAGGGGCATGGTAGAGGTATTCCCTTGGCTACCCACTAACATAAATCCAGGGCTCGGTCCATGACCATGAGCCCAGGTGACTCCAAGGCTTTGTCCAGTGCTGTATTCCAGTTCTGAAGACTACATTTAGTTTCATATCGTTTCCCAAGTGGGAGGTGTCTCTCTCCATGCTGTGCTTCTTGGAGTTAGGGAAGGAGTGGTATATCACCTCCCTCCTTCCTGTCTTCTCTCACTTTCCTTAGCTTCTGTGAGGGTAGTTTCATGTGTGATTATCCATTCTGACGGAGATTCTGTACAAAGATGGCGGGAGAGTGTTATTCTGCAGCCATCTCGCTTTGCCCTCTGTTTAAGAATTCTTAAACATCTTTCTGGGCTCTATTCCTAGCCTTTCAAATGAGAGAAAAATTAATTCCAATGACATTCAAAATATTCTAGGAAACATACCAGCTCACTTCACAGATAAGGAATGGGAAATGTTGAGTTGTTGAATTTCCTTCCAGAGGAGATTTGCAGGGAGGCTTCTGTGAGATACAAATATTTGGATATTGATCCTAGCCAATCATTCACTCCCTGTTTGTAAACATCAAGATTAAACAGTACCTAACAGTGTCACGGAATGCTTACAGACCTAGAGTCCAAATATGGAAAAGAGGGAATTTAGGCTAAGGAGATAGAGGGAGAAATCAGGAAGTAGTTGTGAAGAGAAAAAAAAATCCTTGATGGGTGTATATAAACAGCATATTAAAATTTAACAAAAGACAAAGTAAAGTGCAGATAGATTCAATATGGTATGCTAAAAAAAAAAACTTATTTCTCAACCTTCCACTTATTCTGGCTATGCGTAAAGGTCCCAAAAGGTTTAACGGCTGAATTTAACTCTGCTCATTAAAGTAACCCAGTTTCTCTTTATTTAAAAGAATGGTGTTTGTCTAGTTGACTCATTTTATTAAAGGGAGCTATCAGTTTCTTCTGTATGTATGTGTCCATGTGTGTATTTGCACGTTTGTGTGAGCATAGGTGCTTGTGTGTGTGTGGAGATCAAAGGTCAGCCTCAGGTACTGTTCCTCAAGAGTCATCAGCGTTACGTTTTGAGACAGCGTTCTCACATCAGCCTTGACCTGGAACTGACAGAGTAGAGCGGTCATCAGGGGTCGTCATAGCTGTCGTCAGTGACTGCGGTTAATGTAGCAATGGCTGTGACTTTTGTTAAATAGAGAATCAGTCCTCTACTGACTCACAATAGTTACCAACATGCATCCCACACCTGATGTGTGCTCGGTGGAGTTCTAGGTCTTCACATGTGAGTAACCTCACCCTCACAGGAAGTCTGTGAGGCAGATAAGATCATCACATTTCATACAATGGAACTCTGGAAATCAAGTTAGATTACTGAAAAAAAAATCTATTAAGTAGAGAATAGTGGAGAAAAATACTCATACCAATGTGTTCTTATTATAGCCATAGTAATTTTTCTTTTCACCTTGGCAGAACTTCCTATTACAATAGAAATAATGCACTAGAGGTAATTTGTGGTGTGTTTGCTTTTTCACAGTGAGAGTGGGTGGGAATAAGCTAACCGTATTGAATATTGTCTTCTTGCCAAAAAGTTATAGCTAATATGCACGAACGAGAGACATGTCAGCATTAGTGAGAACTTCCATGTCGATTTTTCTCTTTACTAAGCAGAGACAGTAGACATCAGGGACTTGGACAGCATACTCAGGAAGATGGATATTAAACTCACCAAAGAAGAAGTTGAAGAGCTGAAAAGAAACCTCTCAGTTGATGGTAACTAATTTTCGATATAGAAAAACAACCTTCAGGAGTTCTTGAAGTTTATAGACTATTATTTCTGAAAACAAGTTAATTTTGTACTGATAAGAAAAAATAATGTATAGTCTCAGAAAACCCAGCTACAGACCGAGAGCAAAGGCTGTCTTCATTTTCTAAGTCCAGATCTGGGGTAAAGCATTTGCCTAGCCTATCACTGCAAGGTCTCCTTCCACAGCAACGAATGTCTGGGAAGCAGAATAAAGCGGCGGGAAGAGAAATGAATAGGAAGTTCAAGTGTATCCTTTCTACACTTCCCATGTGCTTCTGTGTTCTGATTCTGACCTCAGTCAGGTTTCTCTGAGAACACCAGTCTCAGAGTCTTGTCTTCTTAATGAACTGAAGTGTCCCCTCCCTCCTGTCTTCCCAAACTACCCTCATTTACTCCTGCTCCTAGGGCAGGACATCAACAAAACATGGCATATTAAGTTCAATAAGACTAAGCACCTTCCTTGTATTGAGGCTGGGCAAGGTGACCCAATATGAGGAAAGGGTTCAGCAAAAGAGTTAGAGACCAAAACAAAAACAAAAACAAAACAAAAAAAAAAAAAAAAAAAAGGCGTCAGAGACAGCCCCTGCTCCCATTGTCAGGATTCCCACAAGAAGACCAAGGCATAACTGTCATGTACATGCAGGCTCCCTGGTTGTCGGTTCAGTCTCTGTGAGCCCCTATGAACCTAGGTTAGTTGATTCTGTGGGTTTTCTTGTGATGTTCTTGACCCCTCTGGCTCCTGCAATCCTTCCTCTCTCTCTTCCTCAGGATTCCCAGATCTCACCCTAATGTTTGACTGTGGTCTCTACATCTATTTTCAGTGGTTGCTGGATGAAGCCTCTCTGATCATGACTGTGCTAGGCACCAATCTATGAGTATGGCAGAATATTGTTAGGCATCATTACTTTGACTTTTTTTCTTTTTCTCCAGTCGTGTTTGGTTCTATCCTAGGTCTCTGGGTAGTCCAACCTCTGGGTCCTGGCGCTCCAGGTGGTATCAGGTGTGGGCTCCCTTTCATGGCATAGGCTCAGACTGGACCAGTCATTAGTGGTGACTCCCACACTCGCTACGTCACCCTTACCCCAACACATCTCATAGGCAGGGAAGACTGTAGATTGAAGGTTACATGACTGGGTTGGTGTCTCAATCTCTGCACTGGAAGTCTTGCCTGGTCCCAGGAGATGGCTGATTCAGGCTGTGTATCCCCTGTTGCCTTACTAGTCCTTATTCATTCTGTTACCTATGGATGCTCTCTCGTGTCTTTGATACTAGTGATAATTTTGAAGTTAAAATTTTAGTTCTTCCATTTCCATCTCATTCTCCCAGTGTCAGTCTTCCTCATGTTTAATGTTTAGTTTACATGCTATCTCTGGAAAATCTTATTGACATTAATACCTTTACCAATTACTTACATGCAGATAAATTTTATGTAGAACTTTGACCTATGTTTCAAAATTGGACATGCAAGGGGCTGTTAGACATTTCCACTAGATATCCCATAGAAAGGAATCTTTTGGGGGCATATTTAAAATAAAATTTAAGATTTCCCTGTCTGGTCTAGTAGCTCTTCATTTGTGGCTTCATTCATGCTATCACCTAAGTTACTAAAGGAGCATGTTTTGTTCTTGCTCTTCCATATCTCTAATGCAGCACAAATTCTAATTGGTCTTAATAATAAAACCAAGAGTCAGATATAGGAGTTAATGCAGAAAGATAGAGAAGCAGAGCTGCCGACTGCTAGAAAGTTCTTACCTCTACCAGTGCTCAGACCAAAAGGAGCAATCCTGTCTCTATAACTCCTTAGACTGAATCTCTCTCTAAGAAACCTCAGACTGCATCCTCAGACTGCATCTGAGCTCCTGTCTCCTCCTGCCTTATATTCCTCTCTCTGTCCAGCTATATAACTCCTATCAATACCTCCCTAGTTCTGGGATTAAAGGCTTGTCATCCCAAGTGCTGGGATCACCTTTGTGTGAGCTCTCTCTTTTAGGCAGATTTAATCTTGTGTAGCCCAGTGTGGCTTTGAACTGACAAAGATTCACCTGCCTCCATCTCCTGTGTGCTGGGATTAAAGGTGTGTGCAACCACTGCTTGACTAACTAGTGGCTTAGCTCTGCACTCCGATCTTCAAGCAAGTTTTATTTGTTTGATTACAGACAAAATATCACTACACACTACTTTTCTGCATCACACACTCTGTAATGCCAGTTCTGCCTCAAATTATCATACATATAATGGGAAGATGGGTGGAACAATGTATGACAAAATATTAACAGTCAAATCTAGACAGTGAGCATAAATTGTCCATTATGCAACTCTTTCAACATATGTTATAATTGCAACATTTCAGAATAAATCATTTTTAGAAAAGTATAGTCTTAGGCCACCAAGATAGCTCAGTGAATAAAAGGTGCTTGCTGCCAAGCCTGATGACTTGAGCTGATTTCGAGAAGCCAAGTGGAGGGAGGAGAAAACTGACTCCTAAAGCTGTCTTCTGGCCTCTATATGTACATGTGCATCCCTGCACACACGCACACACACATACACACAGACACACACACATACACACACACACACACACAGAGAGAGAGAGAGAGAGAGAGAGAGAGAGTAAACATATTATCTCTTGAGCTCTTTTTTTCTTAAAAACTACATTTACACCCACCTTGGTATTCATGTTTAATAGTTAGAGGTTATTGTCATCATGTATGAGAGGGAACAGATGGTGTTTGTCTTTCTGGGCAAAGATTGATGGCATTCCCAGAATTAACCTGCATAAACCGTATTTTTTTTATTATGCTTGCAAAGAAGTATCATAGTCTAGAAGGAACATAATTTTCCCAGGTCCAGAGAGCATGTATGGTTCAGTGGTCAAGGGACAGTTTACTAACAAGAATCAATCCTTCAAAATGAAGGATTATGCAATTAAAGTTAACCTCAATAATGATGCATGATATAAAACTTTAGTTACTTCCTAGGTCATTATTTAAAATTGCTTGAATTTATGTTTTCTTACAGATAAGGGGAAGACGGATCTAGACTCACTGGTGAATATACTAGAAGTTGCCTCAGGTCAGTGAGAACTTATGTAAAGTAAAAGCTCTAATTCTTTACACTAAGCTATATTTTATATAACAAATATCTTATTGAGATATGACCCAAATTTCTTACATATTCACATATAACCAGCTTAAAATTATCATCAAATGAATTTATTCCTATTCCTACTTAACCTCCACTTAGATGATGAGGTAGAGATAACCAATAATCTAGAAGATTCTTGTCTCTCTTTATAGTCATTCCCCTTTTCTATTTGGAGGTAATTATAGTTGACCCTCATACCCGTGCTTTCTGCACACTGATTCAATCATATGATCATAAATATTTGGAAAACAAATTTGTCTGTGTTAAAAGTACAGACTTTAAGTGTCTCAATAATATTCTCTCAGATACTAATATTCTCTCAATTATTTATATGGAATTTACTTTTCATTAGGCATTGCCAAGAATGCATAGTTGTCTGAAAAGATGAGACATTGTGTATTGGTTATATGTACATGCTGTATTATCTTACATACAGGCTTAAAGATCCAGGTTTTTATAATATTTTAAAAAATATTTTATTTTAGATTAACATATAATAATCATGCTTACAATTAAGTTGATAATTCAACACATGTACACAAAATGTACTGATCAAATCAGAGTAATTAACATTCTAATCTGTTTATTATTTGTTTTTATTTGGAACTTTCTGATTCTTCTAGTTCCTCATAAAATATAAAATAGGCTACTGTGACCTATAGTCACCCCAGTGTGAAAAACTAGAATTTATTCTTTGTATTTATGTTTTGATACCATTATTTAACCTCCTATTAGCATTCCCCTGCCATGTTTCCTAATTAATAATCACTATCCTACAATCAAATTGATTTTTGTAAAAGTTTTTATTTATAAGAAAGACATGTAATATTTGATTTTATTTCATTTAACATAATGTTCTTCTGTTCCATCCAGCTTGTTACAAGTGACAGTATTTCATTCTTTCTGACCAATAATTTTCTATTCTGTATATATGCCTCATTTCTTTATTCATTCACCTGGTTTGTTTTCATACTTGGGCTGTTGTGAAATAGGACTACAACAAGGGAAGTATGTGTATTTATTTGAGGCAGTGGTTTTATGTCTTTTCAAATATTACCCTGATTTTTATGCCAGTACCATGCTACATTGGTTATTGTAGCTCTGTAGCATGCCACATTGGTTACTGTAGCTCTGTACTGTACTACATTAGTTACTGTAGCTCTGTACCATGCTACATTGGTTACTGTAGCTCTGTACCATGC